CGATGTTCCGATCCAAAAACTGAACCTAATCTCCAGTTTGTACCAGATCGTATTTTTATCCTTCCCTTCTTATAATAACAACAATTGTAACCCTAATTAAAGATACTAGTTAATTAGAAAGAGATTAATCCTTGAGATCCAAAGGGTCATTAACCTATTATTTTTCTTTCGTGTGCTACTTTAGTAGATAACCAAACATTGTACTAACAGAGCTTGATGTCCAGCGACAAAGCGTATAAATAATTTTATTACGGTAGAGTTTGGGTAGACGAAGCGAACTGGTGGCGGGTGAACAAACTTTACTGTGCACGTCCCCTGAAAGCTCGTTCCGCCGATGTAAACATCGCATGTCCACGCACAAACTCATAGGGTTGCCGATGCCAAAATGGAACCGTGATAGAACCTTACTATTGCGTGAGATGAACTGCCTAACACTCACTTTTTTATCCTTAAAAATTGGGATTTAGTCAAACTTTTGTTAGTTTCCTATATGGTTATAATAGCCAAAAATGCCATGAGGTGCACGATGGTCAAATTTGTACGGCTACGGAAAGAACATTGCCAAATTATTATGTTTTGTTGTTATTTAGCGATATTAAATTACTTTGAAGTTAAAAGTGAACGAAATTACATTGTAATGAATAGAGTAAATAGAGGTACTTTCGTGCAAAAGAAAACTAATGAAGAATACATTAAAGCAGTTTTTATTATATTTCTTAACTCTATATTCTTTAGTTCACAATTCCTTATTGAAATTTTATTTAAACTATCACATAGATGATAGCTACCAACAGTGCTCTAGTCTTTATAAACTTTAATTGGGTGTACATTTAAAAGTCAAATACAATTAAACTCCATTGACCATATGGTACAAACAATGCGGAACGTCATGCGACAATATGTAAGAAACCTCGGCCCTGGGGACAAAATATACATAACATTAGCATGTTACATGCAAATTTTAAAAGAAAACATAATAAATTCAACTCAAGTCAGGAAAATTCGTATTCGTACTTCGGCTCTAACAGGTAATATGCGCGAAATATAATAATTTAAAAACAAACAAGATTGACTTGCACGAGAAAGTATGCGACAAAATGTCATAGCTTTTTATTTTGTTGACTTGTCTATAACACTTATTGAACTTAAAGCTGTAATAACTAAAACATGTCTTATTACCATTGCAAAGGCGGGTTAATAAACAATTATCTATAATTTTCTCTCAGAGTTATTAATAACTGGCATCCCTTGTCTCGATATAGCACGGCTGAAAGGGTCCACCGGGTCACCGGCCTGTCATGCAACACCTCGATTCATTAAGCGTATGACCTGACGAGGCTTGTTAGACCCGCTAAAGTAAAGTACGGCCGTTGATGGACTTCTAATCTGCATGGTGACAGACATTCTAAAGTATTTAAGTAACAACGCGATAGTGTGAAGGTTCATGCACCTTGCATTAGCGTGTCTCGCTATTTTATTAAATTTTAACAGTAAACATTTATAAATACCCTTGTATTTCAAGTACCTTTGTTATAATCTTATGAATCAGAAATAAAATAAAATAATGAATTGTAAATCTTTAAATTATTGTTAACCTTACACCTGCAGCCATTATTCCTTAGTACAGATTTCTTTAGAGTATTAAAAATACAAGAATTGGATAGTCAAACAATTTAAATCGTCCCTTAATGGTTCGATTCTTGGTTGTAACAAATTCCAACCACAAATCCATGAGAAAATACAAAAGTTTAAACTTAACTTTAATAAAAATATTTTCGCGTCTAGAGAAAGCGAGAAAGTGTCTGCGAGAGCTTTCTCTATTTCCAAAGTGGTTTATAAGAATAGATCGTAAGTGGGTCAGGGTGGGATTGTGGCCGTGGGAGCCGAGACCCTTTTATTGTGCGATGTCGCGCCACGAATACGGTAATGAGTCAATTTATTGTTACGCTAACAATAGTACAGTTCAGAGATAAACTTTATCATACCTGCGAGACAAAGATAAGGAAGAAATTTAATATATACTTGAAAATATCATTGACGAACATAGAGTAAGTACGTAATAGAGATCTACCTGTCTCTTCAAAGTTACATCGTTAGGAGTTTTAGTATTATGACATTGATTTGCGATATCAAACTTCAAACAACAATCTCCTTATAATTAAAACATTTAATAATAAACAATTGTTTACACTGCTACTCTTTGATCGAAAACTTGATATATTTACTTCGTAAGAAACAACAATACTTCCCTATTTCTACTTATTTGCCTCAAATTTCCAAGTACAGTACATTCTGTGCATACAAATTACTGAATGGGCCCATCTGAAAGGTCAATCACCTATTGCCCATCACCGGATAGGGTCGGCGGTATCCTTTACTGCCGAAATACATTCAATACGCAGCGTCGCATAAAATTTGGCAGACCTTTTGTAAATGTTTTGCATCTGTAAGTATTTACGTAGTAAACGAAAGTTGAGCCTTTATGAATAAATACAGTCAAACTGCTGTTTAATACCAAAAAAAAAACAATCTATAAAATAAATCACTAATAGTAAAATCAATTGTTTTACCATTAGTAATTTATTAGTGTTAGATTAGCTATGTTAGCTTTGTTTCAATGTAAAATTCAAGTTACGTAGTTTGGAAGCGCATTTCATGAATTTAACGAACCAAAACCCCTAACGAATAGTTAAACGTAGCTTGGAAACCGGTCATTAGTCGTCGTAATAATTATATTGATAATATTATTATTACGAGGCTCACGAGGTTACCGCTGTGGCGTATGAAATCGACTATCATTATTCCAATAGTCGTTTCGGTGCATGGGCTAATAGCGAAAAGCTTCGACCAAGATCTGCAGAAGCTCACGCTACAGTTGGATTACATATATTAATAGCATAGTAGTTATTTATTGTAGAATCAACAAGTTGAAAGCTAGGTGTTAGACGCCTTCTACAACCGTTGTCGGAGATAACGCAATGAATACCAATTGGCTTAACGGACGATTTGATCACATTCCTATAACACGTATCCTCAACATTTACCGCCAATTTCTAACATTAAAAAAACATGTCTTGTTATACAATATCTCGATACATCACCAACTATAATACAGGACAGTATAATACCCGTCCAAAATTGCCAACCTGGTCATCCTAGCAATATAAACATTGACGGTGATTAAAGTTGAGATTATCATTTACGATACAGAAAAATATGAATTGGTAGTTTCTTTTTTGTTAGAAAACATGTAATTGTGTAATTTAGCATCAGAAATTAAATTATATTACAGCATAATCTCCAGGGAAATCCTTAATTAACGTTTTTGCGCAACAATTAAGTGTGAACAAGATAGCGTTTAATAAACATTAGTGAATGAAGATTAAACATGCATTATTTTGGAAGTACTTCATAAGTGTAGTTTTTACCTTTAAACTATCGTACATATTTTCAACACAATTAAAATTTATATATTTATATTTTCAACTAAATTAACAAACTTTACATCTATACATTTAATAAAATTGAAGTGTCTGTAATTCAAATAAAATTTCCAATAGATGATGTATTTGCGTTGCTGATAACGAAAATGCCATTTAAAAAATTTTAGTCTGTCTGTCTGTCTGTCCGCAAGCCGCGTTTGTTCCGGGTAATCTCAAAAACCACTGGGACGATTTCGACCGGACTTTCTCTGAAGGGTAGTTGAGATAAACGGGCACATTATTGGTTACTTTTTTAATTCCGCGCAGTCAAAATGGCGTAACAGGTGGTCCAAAGCAATAACGAAATTTGCGGGAGACAGCTCGTTAGTAAATATTACTTAAATAAATTGAATCCATATTAACTATAGCTTAAAATAATCGTACTATATTTAGTTATAAATGTCTTTAATTCTACGGATTTTAAAATAATTGTAGTCAAGGCACGATTTAAGGCGTGTTAGATATGCATAATGTTGGTAAGGCTTTGAGTGCGAACAGGCTCACTGACGCCCACGCACAGGTGTGACTGGTTAGTTAAATAGAAACGCCGTTTAACTCTTAAACTTAAGAGTTAAGTGGCTGCTAAAAGCGCCCTAATTTCTTAACTAATATTTTGTTGTCAGACACCTTTTGATGCATTCTTTGTATATTTCGATCATCAATGATTTTTGATTCTATTATAGACTTTTTGCAAAACCTCAGATAGACAGACCTTTTAAAACGTGATTAACAAGTCGTCGATTATTTCTATGTACGGTAGTCATTGCATGCCTGCCCTTAATGAGCAAACGACTTCAACATTTCGAGAATCTATGCAAACCGTTACGCCAAGGTTATTAAATAGCCACAGATACAAGTCCACCTTGCGAATTGCTTAAAGATATGCTATCTTAGCCCTTAATTAAGCTACTGTTTAAAAAAAATAAAACGTTTTCACCTAGTGAGTCTATTTACAGACTCCATTTAAATAATGTCTATCTTTACATAACATTTAAACATTACGTAAAAGAGAATACATAATATTTTTTTAAATGGACATCTCCGTTCAGTTCTACATTATATTGGGAACAAACAAGTCATGGCTATAAGCAGTCACGCTTTCTGCTCGTCCAGCGGACTATAGAAATACAAGAATATCTTATCTACGAGAGGAAAATAAGCGCGAGCGAGTATTTATAGATCAGTTATACAGACTTCAGAAAAGATAACTTTTATAACTGCGAACCTAATCTATTCTAATATCATAAAGAGGAGAGATTTGTATTTTTGTATGTATTGAATTCATTCAAAACTAATGGGCCAATATTAAAAATTATTTCACCGTTAGAAAGCTATTTATAGCTATTAAGCTATGACAGATGTGAGTAACATAGGGTATATTTTTTTTATTTTCACGCGTACAAAGTCGCGGGCAACAGCTAGCGTGTCTACATTTTAATCTATTTACAGACTTGCAGTGTAGAATGCTTTTATTTTACGAGCATAATAATAAACAAAGTCGTCTAACTAAAGCCTTACCGTGAACGTGCCTTCAGCAAGTCAAGATGTAAAACCTCTTCGGTAATTTAGGACGTTCCAAATTTAATAATCGGTCACACTTCATCACACTAAGCTCCGATAGGGCTACTCACATCAAACAGACACCGCCAACACACCGGAACCATTCCACACTGTTGTTGTATCGCCGCGACAACCCTGCAGTACACGGTTGCTTATCTAACGACACGCGCACACCTGAAACAATGGATATATTCATTTTACATTTTATCGTTTAATTATAAAATATGTAGTTATTCTTTCAACATGCTTGAATAAATATTGATTTTCAATTGGACATCTGTGTAATTTATCTAAACTTTTCACAATGAAACAAAACACTGCATTGGTTCAACTATAAAAATCTAAATAAACATAGTAAATACGATACACAAATCCCTAAATAGTCTTAACATGAAATCACACCATAAAATGATCAGGGAGTCTTAGGCAAGCGTTGTAAAATATATCCACTTTCTATTTTATGTCGAAACAAAGCAATTTATTTACAGACATGCAATACACAGGCTATTGAATTATTACGTCCACGGTAGCGGTATTATCGAGTACCTTTTATTATACACGGTGAATGAAAACCGGCTTGCCTTATAAGATAATATTATTAAATATTACTATAGATTCCTAAGGCCTATTTCTTCCTGTAATATATTAACGAAATGTTAAGTCTAAATAATTGTTACGGAGTAATAGTTTTATATCAAAAACCCGATAATTTTGTGATTGAACACTAAGAAACGCAGTAACCTTTTTCAACATACATTATGGGTGATTTCTCTCTAAGAGCTAGTAACCCAACTATAGATTTTTTTCAAATAGTTAGAACCGTTGTTAATTTTTTTAATTGTAAAACTATGAATGCAGACTAATTAAATATGTAAATTAAATTCTTATAGAACGTTTAATAATGTCTTAATTATCACCGTTTGGTACTTAAAGTTTTAATTACTTGGTCGCTTGGGGCTCACTTAAATGCACTGTAGACCGCGACACTAGCATAATGGCAAATTTAGGAAAGGAATGACGTAATGAACAGGACTAATTAATTTTAGTTTTAAAACCATTTGTCTCTGAATTAGTAAATATATAAAGTGTCCCATTATAAAGTACCATTAAACTATTGTCCCTCCGTTTAGTTTAGTTTAGTTTTCAACGGTTAAAAATTGTAGTAAAAATTGTTAGCACAACTATTTAAAAAACCAGTGCCTTAAGATAGGATTATCCAATGAATTTTATATCTAAAGTACGCAAAGCTCATTGGATTGAAAAATTAATTGTATATAACCGTACCGTGTTATTATCCTACCGAAGCTCTCGACTTCGCAAAGGGGATGAAAATTTAATAAAAACATAAATACGTCGTCTGTAAAAAGCACAGATTGAAATTTTCAAGAGTTAAAATTAGTTTTTTTTTTTATATTCAGCAAGTAACATTTTTACACTAATATTCATACTATTAAAACCTTATATGAATACCAAAATCAATATTCTTGCGTTATTTTCAACATTTTAAGGCGGTCGTCGTTCATTTAAATTTCATAATAGACTGATTTAATCCATGTCAAATAAATGTTATGATGGTTGAGAGGTCAATGTCAGGTCATATGATAAAACACATCGAATGCCGCAAAATACACACATAACACATTGATTATTTAGTACGTAATCTAGGAACGCGGGAGCGCACGAATACGAACTTCCGTCCATAAAGTGCGTGGGTACGACAATCACCATAAATGTATCACAATCGGCATATTACAAGTCATAAGCGACAGCGGGATACATTGTTAATTCCAAACTAGAAGTTTGTTACAAGACTAACAAGGAGAAGACAGTTTATCTATAAAGAGTATATATTCCATCATAAAATATTTAGCTAATTTAATAATTAAGTACTGTCTGATATGTAATTAGTATTCTAATTTAAATTCTTTTTTAAATGAAACAAGCTTTACTTAATTTCACTATAAATAAAAAGAAACAATTGAAGTGCAATGTATTTGTAAAATTATATGTGATCTCTAATAATGAGATTATGTATTTACATTTAAAAAGAGAGCGCTTATAACTTGCGCTTCAAATCTCGTTTCGGTTGCCATCCGCCAAGCATACTGTCGTGCATGCCAATCCGAACGCGAGGCACATGCCTAAACCTACTATATTGCTCACAACAGATAAACAGACGTTCATTGTAATTGCGAAAAATGGCAATTTGAATTAAATACATTATAAATTAAGTTTGTTTAAAAAAAATACGTGCAGTAGACTGTCTCTACGTAAAAGTTGACTTAAGTGAACATCGACAACAATTTTGCGTACTGTTTATCCATGAAATAAAAACAACGTAACAGTTAATTTAAATTAACACTATCACGGCCTTGTACCATGGCCTTATTCACTGTTGCTAAGTGATAGCACAAACCAAATACATTTGTAGTAACCTAAAAACATGATTATCATAAAACTAATAAGGAAAGCCGATAAGACAACAAAGTATTGTTATCACTAATGGCTTTTGTAGTCTATGTGATTTTTATTTTCAACATCACATTAATCTATACGATTATAATAAAGCGTAAACACACACTTCTTTGTTCCCTAAGATGTGAGCAATTACAGGATATATTTGAATAGTTATTTTTTTTTAAATGCCCTACACTTACGTCACGCTTTAGGCTATATATTCATTACACGCCATTAAACTTAGGGGGCAAATATTTTGGATAAAAACCCTAATGAGGGAAAGAGACCATAAGTTGTTGCCATCATCAAGGAAGCCAGGTTATCATGTCATGTCATTTTGACATTTGTAATTTGACAAATGTAAACAATAAAATAAAATTTTCATAATTTCATGCGGATGAAGTCGCATGGGAACAGCTAGTCGTAAATGTTTCTGTACCGATATAACGACGATATATGTGTGTTTTTGTAAGCAAATAACTCAAAACTTTTGGATAGATTTTAAAAATTATCTTGTATTAAAAAAAAAAACATTATCACTAAGTTGTTTTTTGACTTTTTAGTTTCGTAAAGACGATGTTGCGAACAAAAAAAGTCACCTACCGAATTAACAGAAAACAAAAAGGTTATTAGATCAGAAGCTGGTAAAAGTTTACGACTTTTTCGTAATTCACTAACGAACGTAATTAATACTGGTTATTTGACACCATCATCATTTGCATTTTAGAATTACTTCAGGCAACTTAATTAAAAAAAAAAACATACATTTTTTAAAGATGGCTTGACTACATTTCATTGAAAGTAATTGGACTTATACATAAACATGGATGTAATGCATATAATTAGAAATGACTGTAGGATTTATTGTAAAGGACTGTGGGGGAGACTGTCTAGCGATACGTCACGCCAGACCCCTTGCAATTAGACGAAACCACAGTCTGCAAACACAGCTAGTATTATTAATTGGATGCATCAATTTGTACGATTGGGTATCTCAATAGACAAAAATAATCATAAAAACAAATGACATTTCAATAACTAATTACAAAAAACGTAAATGTAGACGAGAACATCATTTTTTTATAAAGCTATATTTATCTAAATAAAAATTAGTATAAACATATTTTCATACATAAAACAGTTTATTGGATTTCAATCTTAACGGGCATCAAATGTTGACAGATTACCTTAATTTACAACATGAGATAAAAATGTGAACTACAGTAGAACCTTGATAACATAAAAACCACTATAACATCAAAAAATAATGTTCCCTTCCCATCACAGCCCAAAACTTCTATATCATAGGATATCAAGGTTCTACATATACTTAAAATATTTTGTGTTCCCTTGGACTTTAACTCATCAAGATTCTACTGTATAAAGGTAGAAATTGTAAAAGACTATGTTCATATCCAACAACCAATATTTATTAAATTATTTATACATTTATTAAATTACTAGCTTTCGCCCTCGACTCCGTCTACATGAAATTAAAAAAAAACTAAGTAGCCTATGTGTTCTTCCAGACTATCCTCTATGTCTATGCCAAATTTCATTCAAATTCAGCTGTTTAGGCTACAAACTCTAACAAACATCCATCCATCCATCCATCTAAACTTTCGCATTTATAATATTAGTATTAGTATGATATTATAAACATTATTCATACTTATGATGTAATAGGATGATTATTCACAATAACTTTGACTTAAGTTGGTAGACAGGAAAAATGATATTAGAAGTCACATGAAAATTTTAAATATTACTGAAATGAATACAATAGTTAATGTTATTAGGCTGCGATGAAATCATAAATATTTTGGATTTACAATAATTTTTGAATCTGCAGGGTTAACTTCAATGGTTACAATAATGTTAAAACTATAAAGTTTCATAACTGTCATTTTGACAATTTCTAACCTAAACTACTAAAATCACAAATGCAAAAGTTGAGTATATTAATAGATACATGATCTTTTATATATCTTGAATGGCTCAACAGATGTTGCTGAAATTTGGCAAAAATGTAGAACATAGTCTGGGAGAAAAGATAGTTTATGGGTTTTTTTAATCTGCGCAAACAGAACTTCAGGTGAAGGCTAACAATACATAAGATTAAGTTACTTTTTACACAGAATCCTGATTCAAACCATTAAGTTGTTATCATCATAAGTGATAGGATAACTTAAATGTTAAGAGTGGTCACCCTAACATAGTCAAAACAACTTTTTGGTAAAAGTAAGGAGAAAGTAATGTAGGAATACATTTAGGAGTACCAAATTATTCAAAATAATCTCTCCAAAAATACATCTCTGAAGTTGTATAGAAACTGTCATCATGTACACAGGTTTTTTAACGTTTTTAATTTTTAAAATTACTGGTTAAATCTTTTAATGTTAAATTCTCATACAGTGCAACAAGATACTTTACTTCTTATAATGCAATAGTTATTAATTTTCCACACCATCATCATTCATCAGTCAGTGGCAAAACCATAGATTTAAATATGAATCATCGGCGGGAAGGCGGCAACAATATTACTTATGTTGCTTGGAAACTGGTTGTTTAAATAAGGGGTCAAATTTCTGCAAGGTTAGGTCGTAATTTATATCACGCCGGACTGAAATATAAAAACATATCCGCGTTTGCCAAATACTAGGAAAAAAACTTAATATAATGTCATTTTCGTTAGTAAAGGCGGTGCCTTTCGTTCGTGAATGGGCTTGGGCGATGGCGGTCAGCTAACGGCCGCCGAGAGCCGCTTAAAAAACAGTAGTGAGTTCATGAAAAATACTACTACAATATTATTTCGAAATGCAAAATTAATTGACTGATTCAGAAAAAGAGGCAAACTTACCACATGTCAACTATAAATCTCCTATTCCTACATCCACTTTTCACTCACAACACAAAACATTCCACATCCACGATTGACATTCACAAATCACAGTTTCACTTTGAAGTTTTGAAGTTACATTTACGAACACTAGCGCCACGTGTGTGAACAATACTAACTCACTGGAACAAAGTTGCTTTTAAATCCAGTCCAGTTGCAAGAAAGTCAAAGAGTAGTTAGTTAAAAATTAATTCCAATTGTAAAAATAAATTGAGATAAAAGAGTGATATATTGGTATTGTAGGGAAGATATTACAAATAAACGATGAAGGAAATAGCAAAAAAATTGCAAGGAATCGTTTTGTCAGAGTCCAAACGACAATAATCAAATAGGCACAAAATCTCGTGCCCTGCAGCCTCTCCAAAGACATCGGGACCACCAATGCCAATACTTTGATTTTAGAATACTTAAAAAAATAAATGTCAATTGTCAACTCGAACGGCAAATGGCAATGTCAAAACAAGTCTTAAATGGTTTTAAAACTGGTCTAAATTCCTTTAAGTTATTTTAAAAAATTAGAAAATGTTGCTTAGGCGATGTATATATATTCCGAATTCATATAGACTGCTTAAAAAACTATCTCTTAAAACAACTCAACATACTGTCGGTTTAAGGCCACCGACGGTATGTAATTGTTTTAGAAACGAACAATACAGGTTATGTTTTGTTTTCTTATACGTTGTATTATTTTAATTTAGTATTAATTATACCTTACATATATTAATCCCAAAATTATTACATGTTTCATATGATAAAGTTAATTATTTACAGATTTATAAATACAGATGGTACCAAGATATCCGAAAAAGTTACTGACCAGGATAATGTATTACCCGATAGTATCTCTCATTCACCAAATGATAAGTCTTTTAAACTATACAAGTCATCAATGGCTTCGGAGGAGCTGTTAGAAAAATTAGTAGCTGGTTTATCAAGTGACATACACCAGAAGAGGAGAGTTTACAAGAATGATTTTACAAGAGTGATAAACAAGGTGAAAGAATTAAATTTCTCCACCAAAAAGCAAGGGTTGCTCTTAATCAGTTGTTGTGCAGAATTACTACCCGATGAAAGTCCATCATGTAGAATGGATTTGCTTGAACAGGTTTGGATGGCATTAAAGTGAGTATTTTATTTCAATATCTTCTACAGCTTAATGGGCGGGCTTGACTGAAGAAATTACACAACTTTAAGATAGTCAGGAAATATAAGAATTTTTGGTATTATCTAATGAAAGTACCAAAGTTACATTTCTAGTACTACCTTTTTCGATATACTTGGAGTCTTAGAAGTAAATAAACCCATTATTTATTCATTCATACTTCCTTGACTTTCTACAAAATATGCAAATATTATAAATGCACAAGTTTGAATGTATGGGTGTTACTACATATTTGTAAATGGCTTAACAAAATGCTGTTATAATCTAGCGCAGATGTAAAATAACCAATCTGATATAAGTGTTGAAACATGTATTTACTATTAGACAACTTATTTAATTGATTCTGTCGCTTTTAACTCAGAGCAATACTTCTCGTCAAGACTCAAGTTACGCGCCAATCTATCCATACTTCTAGTGACATTGACAGCTGTCAGCTAGGGACGTGCCGTTTATGCCGATAATCTAGAGTTGCGCCAATTCTATAGCACGGTACTAATATTATTCCTAACATTACTTTCAGGCCACATACAGAATTTGATGTTGCTCATTACAATGAGTTGTTGAAAGTATACATAGCCAATAACAGAACACTTAATGTTAGCTCATTTATACAACAAATGGGTAAAGTAAAACCTAATATTTTGACTTATGAGTTGATACTTCGAGCTCTCGGAGAGGTAAATATAAAATTGTTAATTATAACTAAGCTTTAAGCAGAAACTATTATAATAAAAAGGAAAAAAATTAAATTATAATATATATAAAAATGTCTATATATCAGCTACCCTTCAGTGCAAGTCTGGACGAAATCGACCCAGTCATTTCGGAGATTACCCACAACAAACGCGGCTTGCGGACACATAGACAGACAAAAAAAAATCTTTTGATATTACAGACACTGCAATTTTATTATATGTACACAGATATATTAGCTACTACAAATAATGTTATGGTATTTGTATTTGTAAGTAATACTTTTTAATTTCAGGTTGGAGATCTAAACCAAGCAACAGAGGTGATAGCAAATATGAAATCTTCAGAAATACCTGCAACAGAAGAGATTTTTAATTCTTTGATTATATGTCAAGGAAAATCAGGGTAAGTTTCTACAGACACATATTCATGACATTCTATGAAATACTACTATCAATGTTGCCTTAAGTCACATTTTAACTGACAGTTAAGATTTTGCCTAAACATGAATAATAACAGTTCAATTCTTCAGTTAAAATTGGCAGAACTAAATATCTGAACAGCTTTAGACTGTGTTGTTTTTGTAAGCTTCTATTACCCTATTTTGTGTTTTAGTGTGAAAAACGTATAGCATTCCAATTGAATATAATATAATCAGGAAAGTAAAATTTACATAAAATTTGCCTATGTGTTCTTCCGGACTAACCTCTTCATGTATACCAAATGTCATAGAAATCCGTTAATCTATTTCTACAAACTAACACTCATCTGAACATTCTCATTAACATAAAATTTATGTATTATTCCAGTAATCTAGGCAACATTAAAGAAGTTCTAACAATGATGAAATCTCTAAAACTCGAACCCTCAGCAGACACATATACAGCTACTATCAGAGCGTACGCATTTAATAAGAAGCAAGATCTTGTTTTAAATGAAATGCAGAAAGCCAAACAGCACGGAATCCAATTTGGTGAAACTCATATTATGAAAATTGTAAAAATGTTGGCTGCAGTTGGCTTGAATGATGCTATACCTAAGGTAAATTGATTTTTTATCTAAATTTGTATTTTTCGAATACTAAAAATTTTTTGTATATCTAAGTATACCAATATTATAAAAAGTAAATATTTAAATTTTTGTGTGTATTAATAACTCAAAAACTACTAGGCTGATGTCAAAAATTCTTTTACCAATAAAAAGCTATGTTTTCAGCGAGTAACAGGCTATATTTTTAATTTCACGAGAGCGAGGACGCGAGCAACAGCTAGTTATTAACTTTTTTATTGTGTTTTTCTTATTTCAGGTTCTTAAATTCCTACCAGAAGAAATTCTTAAAACACCATCAATAACACCCTATATGCAGAGTGTTTCAACATCATTGGTGTTTCAAAATCAGCCTATAGCTGCTTTGGCAATATACAAATGTCTTCCGTTACCATCATTTGGCCCCAAAGATGACCAAGGTTTGCATGGACGAAGCTTGGTCAGAGATTGTGTAAAGGCATCTATAGTAAGTTACTCTTACTTACTAATATTATAATAGTCAAAGTATAAATGAATGTACGTTTGTTAGAGTTTGTAGCCTAAACTGCTGAATAGATCTCGATTAAATTTGGCACAGATATACGACAAAGTTTGGCTGCGTACATTGCTTACTTAAAAAGTTTTTTTTTAACTCCGCGCATATGCAATCACGTGCGAAAGCTGGTAAAGCATAATTAAGTGTAAAGTAAAACATTTGGTACTTGTAAAATCATTGAAATATTGTTAAAATTCAAGTTTTTTTTCTCATATCTTCCGATTAGTCTATTTTAGACTAGCGTAATTTTAAACATTATTCTTATATCTTCTCATAATTGGTGGAAATAAGTAAAGTGATATTTACTCAATAATAAACAATTTGAAATGTGGGTTTGTTAAGTCAGCCTTATCCATGTTCAAATCTGTCAACACATGGAAAAATCTTCAACAAATTGTTACTTGTCAAGCATGGTTTACAGATTTAAAGCATTTGTGCATCTTTTAGGGCTCTGGTGTGATAACTCTTATAGCTGAGGAACTGATGTCATCAGGTAGAAATCCTATAGCATTACAGAATGCTTCTGAAGCAGCGCTACAGCTGGGCAAAGTGCCCTTAGCTTTGGACTTGTTCACTCGGATGAAACAAATGGGCATGCCAGTTAGACCACATTATTTCTGGCCTATATTACTTCACATGTCAAAGACATATGGAGAAAAAGGTTTGTGTAATACAATTAAATTTTTATTAATTTACACTATTATAAAAAGTAAAGATTTGTATTTTTGTATGTATTCGATTCATGTAAAAACTACTAGGCCAATTATAAAATTCTCTCACCACTAGAAAGGTAATATATCTGTGAGTAACATAGGCTATATTGTTTAATTTTGCCTAGACGAAGTCGCGTGCAACAGCTATTATTTTATAATCTTACTAATATTAATATGAAATAATAGATGGATGTTTGTTACTATCTCTAAAACTCATTAAGAGATTTTGCTGAAATTTGTCATATATGTAGAACAAAAACTGGAAGAACACATATATTAAGTTTGTTTTTTAATTCCGCGCGGACAGAATAACGGGCGATAGTTAGTTATATGTTTCAATATGACAACACTATTTTACTTATTCATGAATTGCTACTAACAAAACTAAAATTTGAGGTTATTTTCGACATTTACCTTTGTTTAACGCATTTTTTTTTATTTAAATGTATTATAGGTATAATGAACACACTATCTACTATGGTAAAAATGGACGTGAAGCCAGACTATGAGACAATCATGACTTACACTTTACCATACGTCAGTTTCACGTCTCCGCAGAACTTGATGAAGAAGTTTCAAGACACCGGCCTGTCTGTCTCCACTGTACTCACTCCGATGATGGAAACACTATTAAATACAGGACAAGTGAGAGCTGCTAGTGAAATTTGTAAGTATTTTTAGATATTCTCAATTATACTTCATATTTCCCTGTAAAAATAAATAAAAAAAAAACTTCATATTAATATAATAAATTCGAAAGTTTAGATCAATGTTTGTTAAAGTTTGTAGCCTAAACGTCTGAACGGATTTCGATGAAATTTTGTAAAACTGTAGAGGATAGCCTGGAAGAATATATAGACTACTAGCTTTCGCCCGCGACTTCGTCTGCCTGGATTTAAAAAAAAAAAACAAAATCAAGTACCCTATGTGTTCTTCCAGAATGTCCTCTACATCTCTACGAAATTGCATAGAGATATGTTCAGTCGTTTAGGCTACAAACCCTAATAAACATCCATCCATCCATTAATTCCACGCGGATGGAGTCGCGGATGGAATCGCGGGCGAGAGCTAGTTCTCTATAAACAATCGCACAACTGTGTACGATTGTCTATTGTTTCTCAGCAATTAAATTGTTTAGTTGCACAACTAAAATACGAGTAGTGTGCACCTTCATATAAGCTCATAGGAATCAAGGGGCGACAAAACAGTTGTGCGATAGTTTAGTCAAAGGTGTGCGCACACTCTAAGACATGCAATCTTACTAATATTATAAATGCGAAAGTTTAGATGGATGGATGTTTGTTAGAGTTTGTAGCCTTAACGGCTGAACGGATCTCGATGAAGTTTGGCATAAATGTAGAGGATAGTCTGGAAGAACACACAGGCTACACACTTTTGTTTTTTTTTTTAATTCCACGCGGACGGAGTCGCGAGCGAAAGCTAGTGTGTAATAAAAGTGTTTTTTATAGGTGAATTATTTGATGGGAAAGTAGATGCGGATGTACTATTACGATCTATAGTAAAAGGTTACCTAATCAGTTTGGATGTGAAATCCACAATACATGTTCTAGAAGATGTCACTGCTAAAGCTCTAGACAAAAATAAAGACTGGGTGGGAAGGTTTTTGTGTGTTTTTATGAGGCATAAGAAAGTAAAAGAGGATTTATCAGATTTTATGGCTATTGTACAGGTTAGTAATAAATTCTTTATACAGTATGGATTATTAATTTATTATTATTATTTGATTACTATTTACTTTGAGTATTGAAAAAGTTAATTTTACTATAAATTAATAACAGTGTAATAAATTTAATTTTTTTTTGTAAAATATCTTCGATCTGCAAAATACTTCTAGATATGTACAGAATTCAACATAATTTTTTGTTTCTTTTTTGTTTTTGAACCATATTTGAAACACCCTGTACTAATGAATCCATTTTTTAGGCTTTAAAAGAAACATCCCTTAAGATATCGACATCCGCGGCGGACTATTGTATATCTAGACTTCCAGAAATCTACGATGCAGATACTACTGAGAATTTTAGGAACAACCTCATTGATATCACTGATGAACGACTGATAGACGAAAGCGATATATTTGTACAGCAAATGCCACATCCTGTAAGTTTTTTTAATTTTCTTTTATGTCAATATATAAGAAGCTATTCAGTGCTATCGTACTGTACTAATATTATTAAAGGAAATGTTTGTAATTTGTATGTATTGAAATAACTCAAAAACTACTAAGCCAATTTTAAAAATTCTCTCACCATTAGAAAGCTACGCTATCAGTCAGTAACATAGGCTATATATTTTAATATTTTTTTTAATTTCACGCGGGCAAAGTCGCGGACAACACTTAGTAAATTATAAAGGCGAAAATTGGATAAATGGATGTTTATTAGAGTTCTAATCTAAATGGCTGAACGGATCTCGGTGAAATTTGGCTTAGATGTAGAGGATAGTCTGGAAGAACACATAGGCTACTTACTTTTTTATTGCACGCGGGCGGAGTCACGGGCAAAAGCTAGTCTACTATATATATTTGTTAAGGGCCACTTATAAAATTACACAAAACGTCCACAGCAAGACTTGTTAGAAAAAATAAAAATAAAGGATTTTTTTTATTTTTTGTAGAAAAACATGAATGAACTATCTCTAAGGGCACATCTGAATGAATTAGAGGCTAAGGGTATGAACACACGCGGCGTATTACGGAAATTACTGCAACAGTACTGCAGAGAGAACAACTTGCCCGCCGCACTGGAAATACTTGACAAGTGTAAGAAAGAAGGGGTAAGTATTTAAATTGCTAGTAAAATAATGCAATAACGGGCAACTTAATGATGTTTTATAATTGCTAAGTAAAATTCAAGTACACTATCTCATTATAACTTCTTGTCAATATTAAAAAAAACACAAGATTTTCTTTGCACTGCAGTTTTCTTGTTATGTGTGTGATTTTCTTTCCCTTCGTCTACCATAATCTATTCGACATGTTTTAGGCAACTCTAAATACCCTAGATTTTTACAAGTAAATGTGTTTCTATCGAATTCGAATTTTATTTGTACTTTTACTCGATGTTACGCTGAAGGAAAACATCATGATACATGTATCTGTAAATAAATTTAAAGATATTTGTAAAGTGAACCCGCAGTGGGTCAGCGTTTTATGACCTAATCAGGTCTGACTTAGGCTAGACTTCAAGCCCTTCAGTTTTGTTAAAGCTGATGAAATTCCAGTAGCGATGTTTTCTAGGTATTCTTATCGGCGGGTATGAAAGCAGCTATATTCGACCTACACGTGAAGTTAGGCGAACTAGAGGCGGCGGAGCTCGAGCTCGTCGAACTAAACAAATCATTCCCTAATTTCACTCTAGATGAGTTTAAAATCATCGATTTCGCTACTTTAATGGTGTATAGGAACAAGATAAAACCTGCATTCGATTTGATTATCGAACAATCAAAAAATAGGTAAGATTTAACTATTTTTTATACTATGTGGTGGTAAACAAGAGAGCTGAATTTGTCGAGAAAGCGAAGCGATTGCTGCCTATATAATCCACAATTGCAGATGCGTTGCCTATCCTGAAACAACGGAGGAGACGTACCTAAAAAAGATCATTTCCCCTTCCTATGCGTCCCTTTTGCCGTCAAATCCACTTTCCTTTCCCATCCTTTCCGTATAAGAAAATAGTGATAAAGGAAAGAGACTAAAATTAGGCCTCCGGCACCACACTCATCAGACTGTACGCGGAATTGCTTCCACTTCACGCCTGTTTTCTGTGTGGTCGCGGTATTACGGAGCCGGCCCTACAGTATAAGGATATTAAAGCGGGCCTTACCACTGTTATATTAATTTCGCCTAAATGGCTGAACAGATCTAGAAGAAATTTGGGGTAGACGTAGAGAATAGTCTGGAAGAAAACATAGGCTACTCACTTTTGTTTCTTTTTAATTTTATGCGGACGGAGTCGCGGTCAAAAACTAGTATGTATATAATTTAACCGACTAATGTCGGTAGTGAAATAATCCGTTCAAAGATACATATGTGTTAAGTCAACCCACAGAGAGCGTAGTTGACTATGGCCTAGTCACTCGTAGGCTCCGAGCCCCTCAATGGGGTTATATAGTGACGTTCTATCATCATTCACTGTGTGTCCAGACGTGTGATAGGCGGCAGGAACGTGTCTATGAACTGCTGGCGGCTGCTGTCGGCCGTGGCTGCCCGCGGCACCGCCGACAGCACGCGTCGCATGTTCACACTGCTCACTGACCTGCGATACTGTAAACCCACTAATACTATCCTGGGACCACTTGTACGAGTGCATCTCAATAAGTATGTATACTAAGGTACAGTTAAGGATGTATATTTCCCACCCATGTAAACGTGAAACATTGAAACTGCACTGCTCATGCACTGATGGTGATAATGTGTCACATATTGTAAATGGTCTGATGACAACCCAACGTGTAAATGTAATGGAAATATTTTTGTTACCTTATCTGACAGTGACGTCATTTTTAAGCTATCTGAGCCTCTATCAGCCGGTGGTGGGACAGGCCCTTAATATAATTTAATGTTCGAAAGATACGGATCTCTTACCACGATTGGATTGATTTAGCCACTGATAAAGCATGGTTCCATGCGCCATGGTGTGCTGACTTAACCCCGCTGCTTCAAATATGCCGAAATATTTGAAGCTAAAACAATCCAATCGTGGTAAGAAATCCGTATCTTTTGAGCATTGTAAAAACCACAACAGTTGTCATATTGATCACATTCATCTTTTACTATAGACAGTAAGGTTCTTTTCCCTTGAAATCTATTTATTAGAATGCGACAAATAAAACTTATTTCCAGTAACAATATAGAAGAGGCTACAAAGGAATTTGTCTCTTTAGCGAATAAATACAACAAGACTCCATTGAAACACGAATTGCTGTGTAAAATATTAACGTCTATGGGAGACGGCGGTTCCGAAGACACTTTCATTATAAACGAAAAGAGTAACGGCAGTATGAATAAATTGGTCCAGAAAGTATTAAACATTGATAAGAAAGTTCATGGTCCGGGAGATGTACAGGTATGGTTTATTACTAGACTAGCTTACGCCCGTGACTCCCTCCGCGTGGTATTAAAACAAACAAACGTGAGTAGCCTATGTGTTCTTCTAGACTTCTTTACGTCTATGCTAAATTTAATCGAGATCCGTTCAGCAGATTAAGCTACAAACTCTAACAAATATCCATTCATCTAAACTTTCTCATTTATCGTAAGATAGAGTTTCCCAACAGTGAAATGGATTTTAAATCCAAGCAGTACTTTCGGTGCATTTTCTCTTTATTAGTATAGATAATATTTTAATTCCACAGCTTACTTTATTGGCGGCGTTAGCAGACGTTGGTTATAAACGGACCTTACGCAAGTTGCTTTTGGACCCCAAGGTCAAGTTCCATCCAGACGCCTTATTGAGGTATTGCGAAAGATTTGCTGATGAGAAGAAAATGTCTGCCTTGGAAACTGTAGCAGAATGCGTCAAGGATCTACGATACTTCAATGTTCAAGATTTATATAATTTGATGCTAGAAGTATATCGTAAGTAAACTCCATTTGATTTAAAAATTAACTTTTACCCGCTATTCTATTTCAGTAATAAAAAAAAATCAAAAGTAAATGCCATATGTGAACTTCCATACTATGCTCTACATGCAAATTTTCATCGAAATCCGTTCAACAGTTTAAGCTACAAATTAAATAACATACATCCATCCAACCATCTAAACTTTCGCATTTAAAGTTATTAATTTATGTGGAAATGTCAGCTTTGTATAGTGTTATCTCTTTCACTCCTCCAATCATGAGTATTATACACCTGCTGTCTCTGTTTTGTGTGGGAATGAGAATGTCTTAAGTGTTTCTGCTTTAGAGTGCTTATTTTAATAGAGAAAGATTAACATTTTCTTATAGCCCTCCAGGTAAAGTATTGAATTAGTAATAACGCTGTTTAAAAACACATCATATATAAAAATATACGGAACTCATAAAAACTTATTTCTGTACTTTTTGGTGCGTTTAGATAATTGTACAATCGAATTTACATTGTCTAGATGCGTTATTTTTGCTACCAACGTTCCAATAGAGAAAACTGAAATGTTATTTTTTGTTTTAGAACGTGATAATAATTACAATGACGGACTCGCACTTTGGAATAAAATGCAAGAAGCCGATGTCACTCCCTCTCAGAAGTTTGTACGTAACTTGTGTTCTCTGTGCACGGCCAATAACAAAGAAATACCATCAGACCTCGCTATGCTACTTGGTAAGGAGACCAGACAAGCCACTTTGTAAATTATTTGTTTTTTTTTTTAACTTTATGACGTCAATTTTAATATTTATATGTTGACTTGTGAATGTAGAATCTGTGATATTAAATTATTGTGTTGTAATTTAATAAAACGTTTTTGAAAATGTTTCTGTGTTTTCTTTTGATATTTAAATATAAGTGTTCAAATTAATGGTGAAGAAATTAATTTCAAAGTATTTCTATATTATTTTTCGGCTCTTACTCAAGTCAATTTTTTTTACGGTGATGGTGATATTTTTAATTTAATCGAGATCCGTTTAGCAGTTTACGGTACACACTCTAACAAATATCCATCTATCTAAACTTTCGCATTTATAATATAACTAGCAAAAAAAGTTTAAAAATAGACATTTCCGACCTAGTACAAGTTTAAAAGTACTGAAATATGTTATAGGAATTGAAATAAAAAATCGTCAGTGATGTGTAAACGCGTTTATTTGTTCATCAAATAATATCAATAAGCTTTAGTACTATTTAGGTCTTCTATTATTTTCTGATTCAGTTGCTCTAATACTTCCAAGGCTTCCTTCTTAATTGGTTCATAATCAGCTTTAAGAGTAATCGACGCTATATCCTCTTCTAAAATACTCTTCCTATTTTCAAGATTGGCCACTTGGTCTTCTAAACTGTTGAGTTTTGAATACATCTCATTTCCATCTAACGCCGCCTAAAAAAACAAATCACTAAGTAATAAGGTTGCAAGTATTGCTCTATCTTTAAGTTTAAAAATTTGTTTATTTTGTACCTGAATTTTCTTCAGTTTATTAGCTGCTTCTAAAACTGCGCTTTCAGTAGGCGTTAGTTTTTCCTTTAAAACTTGCAGCTCATTTTGTAATTCCTTTTTCTGTATTTCGCCTATTAAAATAAATAATAATTTTATGTTAGAACTAATAACTTTTAGCAATAAATTAATTTAATAAATCCTTTGACCTTCGTCTCGCAGTTTTTCAAGATCAGAAAGCGTCACAAGTTCTTCTTCCATTACTCTTGTTTTTTCAGGTAACGTAAGTAGTTCTGCTAACAAACGTTCGCGAGTAGCTTCTACCTAAAATGAAGAAATAATAAATTATTAAATTACTGGTTGTTAAATTTCTTAATGGCTAAATAAGCAACCGTACTTTCTTTAGATTAGTTTGAAATCTCTCATAATCCTTCATCAAGGTCTCCACAGATTTTTTACTTTCATCGTATGCCATAGTATACCCATCTCTTTTCTTCAATGAATCTATCTCGCTCAGATCTAAGTCGATATTGGAGCTGCTATGTTCTAATGCGAATACAATATCTTTCTCTAGTTGATCGATTTTATCTTTTTCTTTTGCAAGATTCTCTTCGTATGTGGACAAAAATGCGTCCATTGTTTCTTCTCGTTTCTTCAATTCTCTATATTTTTGATGACGTTCGGAATTACCTTCTTCGAGATCCTGAAATTTATGTCTGTTTTAGTATTAACTTTAGTTTTAAAATTTACCATTGAAAACATTTTTATAATATCACCTGCTCGGCCTCTTCTATCAACTCTTGAATTTTAGCTATTTGCTGTTTTAAGTTTGCTGCATTACTATCTAGTGAAGCAATCGCAGCATTGTCTTCTCGAACCTGTGAAAAGTATGTCTATCGTTAATTTTTCATACTCAATTTAATTCCGAACGGAAAAAGATACCAAAAAATATATCAGATACTTACCTGTTGTAACAATTTCTCTCGTTCCTCTTGTGGATCTAAGCGATTATTTATTTCATTCTTAAGACTGTCACGTTTCTCCTCAGCAGTCGCCAATCGTCGATGTAAATCCAATAAGTGCACCTTTATCTAGAAAACATACATACCTTTTTGCATTATACAATCCTAGTAAAATATGATGACCATTATTGACTTGTACCTGAGACATGGAAATCTCTCTGTTAAATTCTTCTTTCTCCTTACTTAGATGATCGATTTGTGATCTAGCTTGTTCTGCTTCTTCTCTTAAAGATACCGCAGTAGCTTCAAGTTCGTTATATTGTTGCCTTTGCTCCGGCGTCATTTCTGATAGTAGTACTGATATTGTTGATCGTTCCTGTTAAAAATTATCATAAAGAATGTATAATAAAATTGTCGTTAACTGAACTTATGACCTCTGTACCTTATCCATTTGTTCCCTTAATTGCCTTAGTTGGCTCTCTTTCCTTTGTTTCTCTAAAAATACTTGTTCGACTTCTTCCTGCAACTTTTTGTTACTAACTTCTAATTCTCTTGTTTGTTCTTCCACGGATTGCTTAGATGCTTCTCCGTTAGTAATACGAATGGCTGTATTATAGTCTGATAATCGTCCTTGTAGATCTATAAAAAGTGTAAGTCGTATATGTCTTATCGTATATTAGAATAGAAATTCCTAACAATTTTACGATCTTCAGCTGATGGAATTTTAAAAGGTAAAATTTTAAAATAATTCACAGGATCGCATACAAATTATTGCATTTGAGACAAGACTGTAAGAATTAAGATTTTTGAAGTGCTTGTGATGTATTATGCATTTCATATTTCCTGTGTGTTGGTTTACTTCACCAATTTAGCCAAGATAAAGTGCAAACATTGCAATGGTAATTCTAACTACTGTTATGATAAGACAAATACCTTCATCGTTTAATGCATTTTGTGTGTAAAGATAAAGATATGCTATTCGAAGTAGAACACATTAAGGAACAATTGTTCGTTTTATAATAAGCATAAACTAAAGGCAAAAATATTATATCTTTATCGCCTAAAACCACAAAAAAATGTTAAACACTGATGCAAAATGCCTTTAAATTACACAATCTATCATGACGGAAGTATTAAGAATGAAATTAAATTCAAAATGTAATATTACCAGTCAATTCTTGCGCAAGTTCCCGTACTCGTTTTTCATAATGTTTCTTAGCTGATTTTTCTCTTTCTCCCGACTCAACTTTATCGCTTAGTCGAGCTATCTCCGCCTTGATCTCACGCACCTTGACCTGCATCAGCTCTTCCCAGTATCTTTTATCTTGCAGCTGTCGCGTTCGGAATCCTCGTGCAGTTCCTGTGCGAAGTCCTGATATGCCTTGTTGGGTTATTGGCCTATCGATCTATATAACCAGATTTATTTCTTTAATTATAACTATAAAACACGGCTACTGACTTAAACTGCAACAAGAGGTTACGATAAAAATTGCTGGTGCATAAATGGTTTGTCTGAGGTACAATTTTACAGATACGACACCTATTCCTAACATCTGCAACAAACTCGGCTAGTATTAACAGTAAGTATCACGAGGTTTAGTCACTTTACCATAGAGAATCCAGTCATGGCAGTTGGCTGTCGGCTAGCAGTAGGCGGTGCGGGTCCAAAGCCAGCAGTCGAGAGACGAGACGCCGTGCTACCCCGGTACGCAGAAGTAGGTCTCATGCTGCCGCTTCTGTGTATTTAATTTCAATAAGTAAATAGCAATCAGAATGTAAAAGACATACTTCTCAGCATCTTCCTTATCCTCCTCACGTAGGGTCGACACAATTATTGTCCTCCGCATAACTCCGTCATTCGTCATCTCAGTCATCACTCCCTCAACCTGATGAAGTCACCTTTTACGCAATCCATCCATCTCTTTCTAGGTCTACCTCTACCGATGTGCTCTTCCACTTTCATAACTAACGTCCTCCTTGTTACGTACCATTCATCCCACCTTAAGATAGAAGACATAAGTACTTCTATAGAAATAATTGCATGGTACGTTTTATCAACCATAAACTGGTATTTCGGTATTCATATCCTAGATAAATTACTTTCGGTATTCTAAGTTGAAATTACCTGGACACCGCAGACCCGGTATTGGTATATTCTCGATAGCCTCTCCTAGACACGGGTCGTGGGGCGTCAGTTCGTCTGACCGCGCTCGTTCTGTCCACAACACTGCCCTCGGAAAAATCCATAACGATAATTGTAACGTTATAGCGACGGTAAAATAATTAAATAACCGACTTGATTGTCACGCGCAATAGCTTTGTTGTTTACACGTTGTTATGGCAACGACAATATGCGTGACGTCATGGATTTGCCAGACTGTTAAAAAACAGATGATAATATAATTGCTAAGTACACGAGTAATAAGTAAACAAAATAGCAAATCGTCTTTAAAAAGTCAGCGATATCGCATGGAATTTATAGAACTAGGATTCTAGATAAACTTTTCGAGATTCTGCTAAATTATCGGCGAATTTGTAGGTCTTCAGAGTTAGATCCTCTGGAATAATAAAGAATGGTTGATTAACCTGCCGACTGACTGCGGTTTATCAAATCGCTTCTTAGCGATTACTTCTTAGTAAAGGTCGCTTTGATCCTGTAGATAGGGAAGCAAATCTATCTAGCCGATATTTTGTAAATACGCAAAAACCATGTAATTTTATGCCTATGTGACTAAAAGGACAACATGCGTCGTGTCTCCGTCGACGATTCATCATTGTATGTACGCGGTGCACCTACGCGATGCATACGACGCAAGGATATAATACTAGTTTCAAAGATTTACGTTACCTTGAGTACGAAAGGTCTTATACTCATATATATAGCTTGCATAGCTTTAATTTACACGTGTCAATAGAAGGCAAAAGAAAATTCCAACAGAGAAAGTAAGTGTTTTGATTCGAAATATTAGTAAAAACATTAAACAAAATATTCGGAAATGTGAAGTATTCTGCCACCATCGTTTAAAGGCCTAGATAAAATTCCTTTGCATTAGCATAAATACCGATTACGATAGGAAGGACAAATATAGGACATAGCTCAGTGTGTTAGGAATTCCCTTAGTAGCAGTTGACGGCAATTATTGTTAGAACTAAAAATGTTTTACAACATTTTAAAAGTATTAATTTTTATACATCCAATTTGTGGTTTTGTATTCGACGGTCGATTTAAACATTTGGTAAAAGAAGTAACTTCCTTGATACAGTTTGGACCTCCTGTTCACGAAACTAAATGGTTGGAACAGAAGCTTGATCATTTTGATGACAACGAAAATCGTAAATGGAAAATGCAGTATTTTAAAAGAAACGATTTTTGGAAACCAAATGGCCCAGTCATTCTATTTATTGGCGGCGAAGCTGCAGCATCGCCTGGTTTTTTATATGGGGGTATGGCTTATGAATTGGCAAAAGAGACGAATGGTGTGATTTTTGCATCGGAACACAGATATTATGGTAAAAGTGTACCTTTGAAATTTAATACTGTCGATGATTTTAAGTATTTAAGCGCAAGACAATCTCTCGCCGACAACGCACATCTAATACGAACAATTAAATTAAATCCACTTTATTCTAAAGCCAAAATTGTTGTGATCGGTGGCACTTATTCCGGAAACTTAGCAGCTTGGATGAGGTTATTGTACCCAGAATTGGTTGACGCAGCAGTAGCCAGTAGTGCACCAGTTTTAGCAAAGAAAGATTTTTACGAATACCTAGAAAAGGTAAACGACGTATATGAAAAATATGGCACTAATGACTGCTTAGCTAAAATAAAAGATAAATTCAAAAGATACGAAACCTTATTAGAATCTCAAGATGGTATCGAACAGCTAAAGAAGGAAGAGAATATTTGTCCCGATACTGATTTGAGTGTACCAGAAAACAAACAAACGTTTTTCCTTACTAAGACATCTGAATTTATGGGGGAAGTACAATATGGTCGCGTTGACGATATTAAATATCGCTGTGAACATTTTAATGAAACCATAGAAAGTCAACTTGATGTCGAACCGAATTTATGGAGAGAAGAAAGCCAATGTCACGACTACGATTTCAACAGAATGGTTGATTATAGTTACAAAAATAAATCTAGCTTTATCGCTTGTTGGACATATCAAACATGTACCGAGTTCGGATACTTCCAGAGTTCTACTTCTAGTAAACAACCCTTTACGAATAATATACCGGTAGATTACTATGTTAAATTATGCATGAAAGCATTTGGTTCTGAATTCAACGATACGAGAGTAGATAATGGAATAAATAAAGTGAACGACATTTATGAAGGCTTACATCCAAATGTAACCAAAGTCGTCTTTGTAAACGGGGACATGGACCCGTGGAGTACAATTGGAATTTTAGAAGACGTATCTCATGACGCTCCAGCTATTATTATTCCTCGTGCATCTCATTGTAGAGATTTAGTTGTAAGTCACAATGACGAAGTAGAGTTGCAAGAAGCTGTAAAACACATCAAAGACTTGATTAAGAAATGGATAGGAGTTGGAGAATTCATTTGAATATATTTGATTTACTTGCATTATTAAAAACATAACAACATCTTTATTTTTTTTTCTAATCAAACAAGTCAGTAATGAAAACATCAACTAGAAAGGTAGAGGAAGACCGAAGTAAGTATGGATGGATTGTGTGAACGAGGATATGCTTAGAAAAGGAGTGGATTCCGATATGATGGTTGATAGATGTATGGAAGAGCAACACATACTGTGCCTACCCTCTGCAGCTGTTTTGGTAAAAAATATGGAATTGAAATAAAATAAAGAACATTATTAGAAATAATTTTATATTTTACTCATACATATTTTCCTTAAAATAGGTTACTCATTAACCAACACCCTGCGATATACGAAGAGGATGTTGATGCTATTCTAATCAATCAAATTTAATTCAGGGGCAACACTTCTATTTAATCTGTCGAACAATTCAAAGATATCCAACTTTTCGTCATTACAAAGCGTTTATTCTAGAATGTTCAATTGTTTTTAATTTTTAATATACAATATTCAATAAAATTTTATTATAATTTACAAAACAAAATCAATAAATAGTACGTTTAAGTTTTGTCAAATAAATTCGTAAATGCCGTTTCATTTCCATTGTGTTTTTTAATATTTTTTCTGTGATTCATTTAATTTTCTCACTTAAAGTCATTGAATTTTATTAAATAATGTGACTTTTACGCTTATAAAAATTACAATAAAATGGTAACATGTGTAGCACCTCTGAAAATATAATTTTGAATTTACACCAATGTTACATGTTCGTTAATTAAATTAAAAATATACAAGTACAAAGTATAGACAAGTTAATGTTTATTCAAAAATAGTTTCGAAATTTAAATACCTTTAAAATATTTTGGACAATTTCAACTTCATACAATATCAAAACGTTGGAAATATTTCCAAAAACTCTTAATTTATTTTCATATTCGTGTAAAAGATATTGTCAATTTATTATTCTTACCATAATTATACAATTATATATCCTATATTTAAAATATTTGAGTATTGGTAAATAAGATAAATCAACGGATATCAAAAATAATTCAATGTTTAAAAATCCTAAAGTATAAAATATCTAATCGTCGAAATTAGTCTATATACAAAAGAGATTTATCGTAATTTTTATAAAGTTACAAATACTATATCTAAAAATATTATTTCCTACATTCTAATAACCTATAATATGTCCAGTACAAAACTACAATATCCACCAGCAGTTCAGCTGATATAAATAAGTATACAAAAAAACGATATTTCAAAGAATTGCTTACATCCCAACCCTGTATTGACTAGGATTGATACCTAACTTAAAAATACCATAAACAGATTTTGCTTTACAAAATCTATTTTACTTCGAAAATAGCATAAACAAGAAATAGATTATCATGTTCATCTACACTGACGTCTACATTATTGGCAGTGATAATTTAATACGATTATGCAAAGTATTTTACTTATAGAATCAATACTTATAAAAATGGTAAAAACATAGAACAAGCACGCTTCTACGACAGTAAGTTAATACGATCTATGACAAATTTACAAATTATCGTAATCGCTAAATAATATTGCCAGTATTCATCGAATCATAATCCGAATACGACGGACCGTCTGATATATCATAATTTACAAGAAGCACAAGTATTTACAGATTATCCAATAATTATACAGTCACATCGATATTATTGAAATCGCGAAACAAGAATAAACATTTAGCTTAAAAAACTTCGGTGTCTGCACCGACTAAAGATTCGAAATTACTCTCTCTTTCGACCATACTAGTCAACTATCAGATTCGATGTGGTCGAGCAATAGTTTATTAAAAAATCGATTTCAAATTTCGACAACATCGATGCAACGATATTCAATCGAGTTAATTCCTAATAGGTCCCGTGTAATCTAGTCCCATTCTCCGATGAACATTTGGCGAGCGTGCGGCGCGGGCGGGGGCGGGAAGCCGCGGCCGGGCACGGGCAGGCGGCCGTAAAGTGCGTAAGGGTCGTAATGCTCGCCATCTGAAAACAAAGTACTTTATATAAGGATTTTGTTACTAACTGACGTCACCGACAAGAGACATAGCACCAGAAATACTGTTCCTTCAGATTTAACAGTTTAAAAAATCCCTGTATCGAAACAACGAAAATTGACATTCCAAAATACAAAATTTAATAAATCTACGACAAATCAAAGACCTATGAATATAAATATGTGCGTGACAACTACAAGCGTGTTACATCGTGCTGTTCACGATCACGATCTCACGGCGACTTTCGTAAACATCTATATAAAGTATTAGATGCCATTAAAACAATTTATTGCATGTCCTAAATTTCCAGTCTTCGGTAGTATAAGTGTTAAAGGTTTTGGATACAATTATCAACTAAAGGGTGAAGCAAAGCTTGCAATGGCGAAGTCTGGCGATGGTATCCGAACGCCATGGTGAGTATGGTCTGAAAAATGCAGAAGAAAATCACAGAGCGCGATAGTAGAAGATAGATAGACGAGAAGAAGAATTGTAGAGGTGGAGTGAGATATAACAGTGTGACTTACAGGAAGCGAAAGGCGTAGTGCTACCAAGCGAAGCGTAAAACGGAAAGATTTATACCAGGACTGCAGCGAAGAGTCCGCGAAGTTAAAGTGCGGGGGTTAATTTCTATGTACACTATCGGGGCTGCTGGATGACCATGGGGCGCAGCTTTCGCTCTCTGTCGGGGTAGAATTGAAACATCAGCTTTTCCTTTTTCGGGTTACGCTCGTACGCACCGATTCCACTCTCGTAGGAGCGAGCGTGCCAGAGGGCTGTGGGCGGCATGGGCGCATGCGCGAAGGGCGGCATGTGTGGCAGGAAGGGCCCAGGGTGGGCATGCGCCACGCTGTAGCGCTTGCTGGGCACTGGCGCCTCCTTCAGCGTCAACCGCTCCGTCATCGTCGGTAGCACGTGCTTGCCATTTGCTTTCACGAAGTTAGGCACACGAGCGCGCAGACCGCAGTAGTACGGGTCATCTGGAAATTCATGATTTTTGGGTGTAAATGTAAGTGCCCTAAATATCGATGTTAATGAGACATTCATAGTTTTTTGCACCAAATTTGCAAACAATTTTGCAAAAATAGAGACTTGACTTGTATAAAAATCACTAACATCCTACGATAAATGTTAAGTAAACGGTTGTAATCATAAATCTACCCTTACATAGCGTTAGGCGAACCCCGATGTCACGCATAACATAAGTGATATAAACTTAAAGGGGAGAACATCTTCATGTCCAACATGTCGACGTGTTCTTTGACCGTGTTCAACGTTCTACATGTGGTGACTGTCACGTCCATTCCATGCTTGTTAGTCGTATATTCTAGAAGTATTTTCGTTTTTATTTTACTTAAAACATACTTTGTATGATGTTTTATATTATTCGACATTGCACAAAATCTCTCGGGTGGTCTTAGGAATTTTGATCCTAAACAACAATTTTCGTGACTACAACAAATTATAATTTGTTAGATAAACATAATGAGTTTCAGTGCACATGCTCAGTAAACGTTCCGCATCCTACGTCAAATGCCGTTTCAAATATCAAGGATAGTAAAATGCCAGGTGCGGCGAGGTTGCGACATAGCTCATTGTCTCGGTTACCTATGCCCCTAGCCTGCAGACTGGCACGAGGCGGCCGTCAATTTAGAACGTACCTATGTGAGCGAAATATGTCAGAATTGGTTTGTTACTATTTGTTTTAGTTACTGCTTTGCGTTGCGTTTCGTAGCGAGTACTAGAATAATCGTAGTTGAAACACGTTCCTCATATTTTACAGGTGGCGTTGTAAATCAGCAGTCGTGGACATCTCAGATTTATAAATGATTCGTCCGCGTCGGATTATTGATATAACGACGTTCACACCACTAGTGTTGCAGTTGTAAATAACGATTTTCGTGCATAAATCCTATGTATTGTCAAAGGCGTTCGCTGCAGGAATATATCAAGAATGACCTTGATAAACTACCTATTGTTACACGAATAGTGAATGTAAAAAGAAATATTGACTGTAGAGTCGATTATTTTAATAAAAAAAATTGCAATAAAAAGTCTACGTAAGAAAGCAGACAGTTAAATAAAATTGAAACAAAAGAAAGTGCGTAATCTTTCCAAAAATTAAAAAATATATAGGTACTTTTAGAATTCAGGACTTTTTTAAATATTATTTGATGATTTACAAGTTATCGTTAGTCACTATAGTTAAGTAAGTAATACTTAAATATGTATCAAATTATCTAGATCATTGACGTACTAAGTTAACCTAGTAATTGATATTATTGTAATTTTATACGCTGTTCTCACAAATATATTATTTTCTGTTTGTCCTTCATATTTAGTCGAACACGTATATAGTGTTAGTTCCAATTATTGAATTAAAACAATGAGTTTTTTAGAAAATTAGCTATCCATTACCACGACCACACAGAAGACAGGCGTGAAATGGAAGCAATTCCGTGTTTCGTCTGATTAGTGTGGTACCGGAGGCCTAATTTAAGTCCCTTTCTCTTTATCACCCTTTTCTTATAAGGAGAGGTTGGGAAGGGGAAGTGGATTTGACGGTGGATGAGATGCATAGGAAGGGGAAATGTCCCCTTTATGTGCGTCTCGTTTGCCACCTTATGTTATAAAAAAAAAGTTAAAAATAATAGATCCTGTTTCAGGTAGACACAAATTTATAGTTTTAACTCGTATTCATTAGGATTTATCCAGTTTTCGTGGTCAAAAATATCTCCTAAATGATTCATCGTACATTAACTGCCAAAAAGGTTGCACCCCGCCCAGGGTTCTATCCGGATTCATTAATTTTAAAACTGGTAAAACCGACCAATTTAACAAACCAACCGAACCACATTGTAGAAGAAACGCCTTATTGATAAAAAATTTAAAACTTTAATTTCAGAATAAAGACATTTTTATGTTGGGTTGATTAATTAAGTTTATTACAGTTAAAATATTTTCATTAATTCAACTTAGTTTGTTTCTTACAAAGTCGTAATTCCGCTTGCTAATTAAAATACCTGGCATGTGTTAAAATCTAACTACATGAGAAATTCTAGCTGCAGACATCTTTAAGGTGACCTCAGTTGTCTTGAACCCTTGTCTTTACTCTTTTTATATCTTTTTCAAGTCACACATTTGATGGGTTCTTAATAATGTAAGCATAGAAAGTTTCATGTAAAACGTTTTATCGCCATTTTAATAACATTTTTCAGATTTTTCAGGTCTCAAACACTCTTTGTTGTTCTTATATCATAAGAAATCTTACTAAAATTCTATCATACATACATGTAACATTGAAAGAAGAAGAAAATAGTAGAATTAGAATGGTAGTAAATTCATTATGAATACTAACCATATTTTTTGTTGTCCTTCCCTTTATCCGATTTACCTCTTGGGAACTGCGACGGGACGCGTCCGTTCACTTCAATGTCATCGTAGTCCGGCTGCAAATATGAAGGAAAAAGTTAGCCTAACAAATAATGTACCAGAAAAAAGATTTAATTAAAACATTAATACAAAAGCAAAAGAATAGGGGATGTTACTTTTATTTCTAAAGACTACAATAAAGAAGCGATCGATGTAAGATAGATAGAAACGATATATTCTAGATACATCCAGAAGCTGTCAAGTAAAACATAAATTAGAACCTTGTTGTCCGCAGTCGCTTTCCGTACTTGGTGTGTATAAGATAACATCAAAGAGATCTTTAAAAACGATGTTAGAGATATTGAAATATATGGAAACGTCAAGATTCGAAGATTTACAGTTTATGTTTAAAGTTCCTAATCGCGATTATTTACTTCCTTTCTATTCGATAAAGTACAGACAAGGTGAAGTATAAAGTAATAAAATCATTTGATCAGTCTTGAAGGAAAAGTCGCAAAGAAATCGATCTTTATGTCATTTCTTAAGAGATGAAACTCATAACGTAGGCACTATCTCAAAGCTTTACTAAGAAAAATATTGATTCAACTAAAAGTAATATTAACTAAACCCATATAGTAGTGTATCTTATCGCAAAAGAAATTATTCGCACCACCCAGCTTAACTTTTATTTACAATAGAGCCCGTAAACATTGCAAAATAAAAGCGGACAAAGGCGGGCGACATAATTCATGTATGTAGTGTCACAGTTACAACCTTTTAAAGGAATGTACTATTTGGATTACCAATAAAAGAAGATGGAAGGCGACCTCTAAAGGGCGTGTACTGCCATCTATCTTCAGCGGTCGTGAAATCACAGATGCGTTGGCGAAATGGGCTTTACCATTGTGTTCACACGACATGTTGAAAATAAGTTACAGATTTGACCAGATGACATATATCTTGCTCAAATAAGTGAGAATGTGAGATAAAGAAACAAGACGAACTAAAATCAAGAAATTGAATTTTCGGACGTTATTTGTATTCTTGGGTTGAAATTAGCTTCTGAATTAGATCTTAATTATTCTACTCAAATTTATTCTGCCTGCTTTTGTGTCGTATTTGATATGGATGGGTTTTCAATAAGAGCTGATTGGATATGCATTGGATGGATTTCATTATTCATGTCAGGCGACACTGATTCAGAATCACTTTGCGTAAATCGGTTCCCTTATCTCCATCATAATGTATTAAGTTCTTTTCATTTTGGAATTTTTTGCGGTTTAAGGGTCAGGGTCTCAACTCCATTAAAGTCAAGATACATGGACTTAATTTAGTTTGCGGACTGACAAATGGGATTGCTTTTGATATTTTGATGACAGCTTTGGATCACCATCTCGAATAATAGTATTCATAAAATGCGGATTAGAAATTATTATAAAATTAGCTGTTCCCGTGACGCTTCATCCGCATGAAATTATAAAAACTTTATTTTATTGTTTACGTTTGTCAAATTCTCAATTGCAAATTTCAAAATTACAGTTACCATAATAACCTTGCTTCCTTAATGTTGGTAGCTTGTAGTTTATGGTCCCTTTCCCACTTGAATATTTTACCATTTTTTTCCCTAAGTTTAACAATGAAAATATTTAGCCTAAAGCGTAAGTGTAGGGATTTTTATTTAAGGAAGATTTATTCAAAAATATGCTGTGATTGCTGACATCCTACGCCACAAGGAATTGTGTGTTTACGCTTTATCATATTAGTATAGATATAGATAAAATATAAATTGTTTTCATTCGTTGTTTGTAAGATTTAATGAAAGTAAAGAACTAAAACGAGATTTGAATATTTCCCGAAACTAATCTCGGCTTCTTGAAATTTTGTTGTATTAGTCATAAAGAATGTTATCTTCTAAGTGCTAATAAATTTGTGTTCAAACCATTACTGAACCCTTTTCAGAGTATTAATTAGGATTTATGAAAACGGTGATCCTGCAGGGAATATTTTTTACTTTGTAAACTGTAATGTCCAGATATGTTTTTATTTAAACAGCATAATGGAAATTGTCAAATTCTTGATAAAAGCATATAGACCCTGGAACATGGACTAACTTCAGATGTACCTAATTTTGATAATTGTTACTAGAAGACAAGGCAGACCTTGGGTATATCAGCAGGTCCGTAGCCATTCTCTCGCGGAGGAAGCTTAGGTGGCTTGTCTCCTCTCTTCTGTCCCATCTGCATCATGAGCTGCTCCCGTGTAGCTGCCACCACGCCGTGACCGTTGCCATTGCCGTGTCCATTGCCAAGTCCGTATCCACCGGAACTGCCACTAGATCCTGAGCCATTTGCGTTAGAACTGGCGATACTGTAGGGATCTTCGTCGGGGATCGGTATGCGAGGTCTGTTCTTGATGTCCAACGGTCTTTGTACTGTTAACAGAAAGAAAACAATTAGTTTGTTCTAGTCTTCTTGAAACAACATCAAAATACAACTAAAGTTATTAGAAAAAGATTGTTACGTATATTATTGCAATGGTCACAACATTCAAAACAATCCATCGATGTCACGTTGATTCTACGGGGGTTTTGTATAATGGAATTAAATGATACATCATTAATAGACATTTTGAGCAGACGACAATCGTAAACGTTTAGTGTATTGCAAAACCCAAGCGACATGAACGTAATGTCGTGATTCTAAGAATGAACGCCAATCACTTCTCTTCACGACTTTGGACAACCTACGATTATTCGCTCGGCGATGCTAAAGGTTACAGGGTTATTATATACCCAAATGATCCGTTTTCAGATCTTTAATAAACATAAATATTATGCTCGTTTTTAAATAATAGTGTCAGACAACTAATATTAGATGCAAGGCTACATTTCAGTGTAATTTAATGACAGACTGCATCCTTTTTTGCTAGTAATAAATTGCATCGATAGCACCAAGATTTGGATACCAGTTCAAGTGAATTGTTTATATTTGTAAGGTAAATTATGGAGAGTGATTGAGCGGAAATCGAGATTAAACCGTATAGCGTAGTAGACCGTGACGTAGCTTTTTTCGTATCCCTTTGAAAGCGGTGATTAAAATAGTACCAATTATAGGAGCCATTATTGCTTTGTATCTATAAATTATAATATAATTTAAACAATGAATTTTAAGTGCTTAATTGTCTTTAATGTTTTTAATGTTTAATGCAACTACTATATTGTAAGACAATGTCCAGTGGCAGTACAATCCCAAAGAAAGAATGTCGACAAAAGCAACGTTAGATTAGCGTTCATAGATAGGATTTGATACGCACATATCTGGACTTCACAAGAGGTTTATTTGTAAAAATTGCAGGAATGAATCATGAACGAGCTAGGAATCTAGATTAGGTTGGTAAATGTCATGAATACGTAAAATTATTTTTACTTATAGAAATACTGAAATATATTTCTAGAGAACATTTCAATTGCTAAAATAGACGATACACAGGAAGTGTTAAGTTGAGTGAACTCACCGTTTAATGTGACTAATTTGGACGAAGCTAACGAACTGGTTAACTTTTTCAAATTATTTTAACAAGTTGTAATTAAAAGTAAATTTTTTTTTTTGTTTTAGAGGATCAAAAACCTTTATTTTTTATAATTGAATGTTTTTAAATTATCATCGGCGCTTGCTATTTTTCATAACCATTGTTTACGACTATTGTTTGACCAACTTTAAATATTTATATTGCTAATCATTTCAAATTCAAAGTGGATTCTGCAGCAATAGGATCTAGTCAAATGGCTTATTTCGTTTCGGTGAACTAGATATGCCACAGTTAGTCACGAACACGTGGTGCGACCTTCACGTTGAAATCGAAATTTGCCGCCTTAACTACGACCATTGCTGCACGGTAAAGTGGTGAAACATTTCGAAATATATCATCGACCGTGTTAAATGTTATATATAAATAATCGTGCATTATAAAGACCTCAATTTGTGCTTATTTAATTTTAACTATATAACCGAAACGAATTAATATCACGTAAAAGATTAAAATTGAGAACATAAAATATTATTTGATATCGCAACAAAGTTACGGAATGTACTAGCAATAGCATCACGTTTTCTTTATAGAGAAATTTAGATGCTTTCTATAATAGATTTCTTTGTGTTATCACCCGATAAATAGCTGTTAGACCGCGAAACCGCTGCAGAAAATCTAAGAAAGTAACTTATTGGTTATGAGAGATCACTGGGATATGTTTATGCGGTTTCTTTCTCATAGATTCTGTATGATTTGAGCAAAACCAATATTAGATGTTGATGGTAAGTGCGATGTGAATAGAGCTTGTTAGAAAATTTGCTGAATACTGTGAGTGAAATGAGGTGCAATACATCTTGAGATCGACGTCAGATTGCATTGTTGCACAACAATAATGCAGACTACTGACTGAGGGACTGAATAGTTGATGCGGTCGCGCGCTATGAGACTCGAATCAGATTTGCAATTTGTTATAAAATTGCACGTGCCTTATACCAGCGATGTTTACCGCGAAATTAATGTCTGTTTTTCTCACAGTACCAAAAAAGTAATCTCTAGCTCTGATTTATTTAAACTTGTGTATCCGAATTCTTCAAAATTTACCTACGTCACATTTTTTAAAAAAACCCAAGCAGGTGGGTCGCAGGGCTCACAGTTTAAAACGTATAATTAGCTGATCAGCTGTCTGACCTAGTTCCGGAAGTATGGTGGACTGGACAATGAAATCGATAAAAGTCGACTCGAGTCGGCGGCTCACCTTGGTCGTATAAAAACCAGTTCACTTCGCATGGGCCATTACAATTACCTTTAAAATTACTCCGATGATCCTGTTCTTAAGGTCGTCTTGAAACATTACCAGAGTGCGGAAACTTTTTTCTACTCCCTCGATATGGAAAGTAAACTGACTGTAACGAGGTAAAAATTGACTCTCGCTACAAACGTTCGACCCAAGGTCATCCCACTTCGAGCACACGTCTGCAGTTTTGCGTGAGAACTCTGTATTATAAAATTTAATTTTATATATTCGTTAGCGTTTCTTAATGATAAGTGTAGAGGTCGGCTCATTGTTGTGTTGCATAACCCGCGTTGTCCGGAGGTCTGAGACAAGGTAACTATAACATTGTCGGCTGCCGCCGCTACTCGTTACCGACTCGTATATGAAGAACCATTCAATGGTAATTAACAACGTTGATGACGCGTGACTGACTTCTGATTGCATCCTTGTAATATTTCTACAATGGATAATGGTATGCGAAGTTATAAACGCCTAAATGTAGATGTTTGCTTTCTCCGATTAAATGACGGGCAAAGGGATGGGACTGTCGATAAAAAGAAACATGAAGATTTAAACACAATACGCGTTGTACATTAAACTCGTAGGCGTTGTTTGATAAATATTGCTCACGGTGCAATAAAATAATGGGATCTTATTCCGCTCTCATAGCCGTGGCGCGTCTTCAGTGATGCACTGTGTCTCTGTCAGAGATCTCGGCGTTAGGCGATTTATTCGCTTTGACACGTATTGTGCGCTTGTGTCGTCCGGGCGCCCCGTCCGACGCTTTGACGCTTCCAGTTCTATCTACATCTGTACATCTTGCTCACCTTCAAACACGCTATGAAAGCAAACATGATACATTTGTTACTGTGAACTATATATATGTTATGAAAAATTCTATTTCTTTTTTCACAGAGCATTTTTTGTTGGTAATTTATAATACAAGAGCGTTATAAATTCAATCAGACGCGATGAGAGCGATGTATATTTTACACATCATTAAGCTGCAGAAAAACAAATCGTCTGTCCAATATTATAACTTTGCCTAATCAAGCGACGTACAAAAAAATCAGCAAAAAGTCAGATATAATTTATTAAAAAAGACGCAGCCAGTTTACATTGAACTTGGGGAGATGTTAGTTTTTAGCGCGGAAGTTGCACGTTATAAAATATTCTATATTTCATATTAAAATAAATAAACATTAGTCAGATGCTTAACATGTTCATCGTGACTTCAATTCCTTGAATTCTTAACGCGTGTAATTTAATGAAGTGATTAAAATTTATGATAATAAAATCGTATAAAATTTTTATTAATTCAAGTTATGAAATTCAATTACTTTACCAAAAAGGCTGTGTTCAACTATGGGCAAGTAGGTTATGAGAATGGCAGCGTACGCATGTCCATAGATAATGTTCTCTTTTTGTTTACCTTTATAATATAATCTTTTATTTATTTTATGTTTTTTTTTTATAACATAAGGTGGCAAACGAGCAAGTGGCCACCTGAATCCGCTAAAATAGCAAGCGACCGCTGCCCATAGACATCCGCAATTGCAGATGCGTTGCCTACCCTTATCCTACAGAGGAGGAGACGCACATGAAGAGGATATTTTCCCCTTCCTATGTATCTCCTCCTCCGTCAAATCCACTTCCCCTTATCATCCTCTCCTTGTAAGGAAAGGGTGGTAGAGAGAAAGGGACTTAAATTAGGCCACTGGCACCACACTCATCGCCTGTCAATCATGTTGACGCCTCACTAGCAAAATGGTTACGAATTTATTTAAAGTTTGTCCGCGACTGTACCAGATGTAAAGATTTAAATTGTTTTAAATGATGTGAATCCCCTTGTTTTAAATAGGAAGGAAAAATGTAATTTACTTGCCATTCGTGATGTGTTCCTCAACTCACTCATTAAGAATGTATGACTACGATGTAATGAGTACAGTTATCGAGAATTTCCTAGGAAAAATGCGGTTTCATATTTGGATCTTTACCTGACCACCATTATTGTCGCTATGGGTTTACCACAACTATGCCTTTGAAAAAAACTTACGTTGATTTCCAAATATGTTTAGTTACAAAAGTATTTTAATAAAAAAAAAAATGGAAATAAGCATGAATCAGACAGGACTTAATAATAATTTTCATGTAGGTTTAATTTTACATAGATCAAGAGAACAGAATAAATTCTGAGAAAGTATCTGGGTGTCCGCCGAGGCGAGCACGGCCAAACACTAATTTCTCGAATTTGTATTTTAAGAAAATAAGCATTGCGTTTAATTACGTCATGATACATTCATAAAACGGTACAATATTTTTAATTGATTGCAAATGTTTGTTTTTATTAGTCAATTTGTATAAACAGCAAAATAGAAATTAACAACTTTGTTCTTTAATATAGGAAATTAAATCATACATTTCTAGCGTACCAATATTGTAAAAACTCGATGCGGAAAAATTATATTCTCATTAGATGATCCTATGTATTAAATCTGCGGGGTATCATATATCAATCAATTTTTGTGACTTGATAAGTAGGTATAATTATACTGACAAATGTATCTAAAATTGATATTCCATGACATTATACGGATTAATACTTGTTGAAGGCTTAATTCGTAACGAATTTTTAAGTAGCAGTCCAATATAAAAACTCATCCTAATTAGGAACAAAAGAAGTTACACACAATATTTATCTACCGTGGATAGGTCAAGTTGTTTAGATCATAATCTGATGCGAAGTCTCGTAGATAAGGCAGTCTTCACAACTTTTCTATGGCCATAGTCATAATGCGCGGATCCTTCCATTGATTCACCGACTTGGTGTAAGGAAATATTCAGAGGGTAAGGGGAAAAGAATTTTTACCTGGTGGCAGTTTAGATTTGAGCATATCCATAGCGACGACGTTGATGACGAGCACCCAGATGGGACACTCAAGCAGGTCCGCGTCCGACTTGACGAAGGCGACTGCGCTGAGGCACTGCGTCTCCAGCCGCCGCCGATCCGGGTACGAGCGCCGAAGCTCTCGGTTCACATTCGACTGGAACTTCTTCATGTCGAACAGCTATTGAAAAAAAATTACATTAAATTCTAGCTGTTGCTCGCGACTTCGCCGCGTGAAATTAAGAAAATAATAAAAAAACGTAGCCTATGTTACTTACTAATAACGTAGCTTTCGAATAGAGAAAGAATTTTTGAAATGTGTTCAGCAGTTTTTGAGTTATTTTAATACATACAAAAAAGCTAAAATGCAAATCTTTTTTCTTTATAGTATTAGTAAAGATTGAAGCATTGATGTGTGAATGATAAAGGGACGAGAATCCTTAGATAATGCACCAATACTAGTAGGTTTTGTTAACAAATACGAAATTACCGTTTTTAATCAAGCCCTTGATTAGACAATTGCTTAGTTTCCATAACCTGGTGGCAATAAGTAACCAACCAAACTTAAACAGATCGATATCTTCCAAGGCTGATTTCGACATCTATCGTATTATATTAGACTATTCAATCGATATGAGATGTTATCGAATTAATTTCTCTAAGCAGAGCCGCTGTCTTACCAAATGAAACAATTGATTTATCAAGCGCCCCAGCATCTGTAGTGCCCTTATTAACTTCAATAACTGAGCCAGTAGGAGCAATATCCCATGATATTTTTTCTTCGACAAATAACTTTTATTTTTATTGAAAAAAAATTGTATAATTTTTTTTGAGTTTAATTAATCGTTATTTGCAAAGGTTAGAAATAAAATAGGAAACTATAGGATTATTAATTATTGGTATATTATATTGTATGAAATGAAAGTGTTATTACATAAGGTTTCTTCGATCAAGTTTCGTCGGATGCATCAAGACGTTCATCTCAACGCAACTAGACATCGGACAAAGTGAAAAGAGATGTCGATGTTATCTACAATAACTACCGCCCACAATAATTCATCGGAGAATTTACCAACTCATTTGTTTTTGGATGCATTTTAATTATTAATGCTTCGTTTATCACCATTGTTTAATTAAAAACCTCCGCTGAGGCATTTAATTGGTTGTGTTCCTGGAATTTTGTAATACGGTAATTTGACCATTTGAAGGTTATTTTGAATCAGGTAACGCCTAACTTTAGGTTATTTATAATGTTTATTTTTAATTAAAAATATTAGTAGATTTTGTTAATTTACTAACATTTTCAACTAAGCTCTAGGCTTGTGCTAGGATATGGTTCACGACAATAGTCGAATGGCGGAATTCGAACCCGTAAGATCTGTAGTCCGTACCCCAAACCATTAGGCTATTGGCGCTTACAGAAATAAAAGAATCATAATGTAACTATAGTTGGTGCAGAAAGTATTATGGTTAAATAGGATTTATAATTTAAAATGCATTTTCTACCTTTGTATCTTTAGTACATAAAAACCTTAAACATCTCTGTTTAAATAGAACTGGTTTGTATCAGATGTACTCTTAAACTTTACTCTAAGCGACACATTTGATGAAGAAGACAACATTGTTATTCTTCAAATTACTCTCAAGGGAACTCGTCGTGGGAAATAAAAAGTATCGCACGAAAAAAATCGCAGGGATCGAGGGGTTACAACACATTGTATTGTCTACGGATTATTGTTCTGTTTCTAAGAAACACTGACCTGAGCTTACAGAGATTTCTAATTATAGAGATGAATGGATTTGAATTTAGAGCAACAGGTTTCAAGGTCATCACGGAACGTGGTTATTCAAAACACATCGAGCTACATAAAACGTATAGAAAATCTATAGATAGAAGCTCCAAGCATGATTTCTGAATAGAGCTAAGTATCGCAAAAAGTGTGTATTTGCTACAAATAGATAATCAAGGAAATATCTACAGTACTAATAGTAGCTGCTGCTTGAAGAGCTGTTAAAATTATGCAGTTACATAATACTCATTAGAAACTGCTTAGATGCATAATCTTACTAGAAATGTTTAATTGCCTTAAGGAATTACACAAAGTAAGAGAAACATTAAAAACACCTTTTTTAGTTAACTGAAAGTCAATTGCAACTAGTCAGCTCAAAGTTCCACAGTTTTTTCATTTGTTTATTGATTGCAGATCCATTTAATATTTTTCATTAAAAAGTTGCCACATATCGGACAATACGCATCGCTATCTGCGAATTGCTTTCATTACTCTCAAGGAAACAGCATAAGATACAAACAAATAAGTGAGGCAATGACCATTCTTTCCCTTGCTTAATGGCACTATCTTCTCGCATTGTTCGCGGCTTCTGGTTACGTAAAGCTAGTTAATGGTGTATAAATTACTAACGAATCTCTCGTGTTACCAGGAAGTGAATTTCGTATTGTTTGATTCGACCTAATTATTTCAGTATTTCCTACTTTGTTGTTAAGATTGCAGCTGCGTTAGAAGTCTAAAATGAAATTATTAAAATCAAGATATAGTCCTTAATAACATTGTCTCAACCTTCTGAAGATAAACAGTCTAAAATATTTTTAATACTTTTGTGTTTTGCAGTCTAATTTATTACATTTGGTTGTTTGACGTAAAACTAATAGAAATAAAGGAGATACAAAATTGTAATTATGAAGAGAATGAATGAAAAATTATAAATGAGAATGAAGAAATTATGTGGCAATGGCATGGTCAAGGCATCAGTCGTGCCGCTGCGAGTCGTGATGCACAAGATATTACTAGCGCAACACAATGCATCTCGCATTAACAGTAATGTTATTTCACACGAAGGCAGAAGTGACGCAGAGGTACTCCTCGCAGGACAGTGCAGTACTTTTTGAACACATGAGCTCAGTGTCCGGACAGCCTAACCAAACAAAAGCATTACTGCACTCTCACTATTCTGCCTTCGTGTGAAAGCATATTTCGATTGTTACCCTCCAATGATTATTGTCTAAACCGCTAACGTACGACATAAATTACAGAGCATTTCTAATTGTAGAGACAATCTGGAGACTCTAAATTATCAATTCGATACAAATGCTGGCAGTTTATTATCCTAGTTTGATTATAAAATAAAAAAATAAAAACATGGCTAATGTATAAGGAGATGTAACATTTTAAAACTTTTTTCTACAACAAATTAGTTTAAACCACGCTAATCAGAATTTCCTTGTAGTTACATTTTTTTATATGAACAAAGTAAATTCATATCACATTCACGGTAAGCAGAATTTATATGTAATTCGAATCCAACACAAGAGGAAACAACTCGAACGTGTGATAGATGTAACGCTTTATCCATAAACAATCATTTTTGCGTTCAAGTTTTTCCTCTGACTATATTCAACGTCAAAAAATAGTACTACACTATTAAAACTCCAATTTCTAAAGTATAATAGCAATTAAAAAGTAAAACATACTAATATTTTTGAGTGTCTTAAGAAAGCTAATGAAATTTGCTATAACTAAACAGTTTTTATTGTTAATTCTAGCTTTAATACTGAAGAATAAATTATAATTGTATAATTGTACTACTTAAAGCACGTGCACATCTTTGAATAAACTATCGGACAACTGTTCAGTCTCGAATTAATTCCTATGAGCTTATATGGAGGTGCGCACATTACTCGATTTTTAGTTGTGCAACTAAAAAGTTGAATTGGCTGCGAAACAATCGACAATCGCACAATACTTGTACGTTAGATTAGTCAAAAGCGTGCGGCCACTATTAGTTTTGACGTCAAGTTTACAAGATCAACGAATGTTACAACTGATTTCGATTACTGCCCGAAGCGAAACAGTAGCTTCCTTATTGCATCTAATTCAAATTACCATCGCGCTTACGAGCCGGGATATTACCGCTCCAAGATATTAATATTCCACGTTTCGTCATAAACAAATGGGTTCATCTTGACGGAAATTACGGCAACACCCATATGGCTGAGGCGAAGCTAATTGCCTTCTTGTGAGTAAAAACTGTAAGCTATATTTAATCTATATTTTATTAATATATCGCTATTTGAATCTGTTTTAAATCTACAATTTTATTTAGTGACAATTTATAACTAACATATACTTCTATGAAAGTCAAAATTACTATAGTCAAATTTCACTTACAGCTCATCTGGACCATGTTTGTATGGAGAAAAAAACGTAACAGAAATATTAATTTTATTAAATTCGCTAGTACACTTGAATACTTGGTGCGCACGGCGGAAAGACGTTGGAAGCGGAAGGAGGATGAACTTATTCTGTGGAAGGCATTGGGAAAGACAATGGCAATGATGACGATGGTCTCAACAATATACTTAGAAATTTTCAATAAATAAGTGCATCTGTTGTAGACAACATCAACTATAATAGAGGTAGTTTAAAACTTTGGAAATATGAAGACCTTACCTTAAATATTTTCTCCTGTTCCAATGAGTATCCAGGTAACTTGACTATGTCCTGGCCTATCGCCGTCTCCTCGTTGTTTGTGGCGGCTGTACTCTTCACAAACACACTACTCTTGGAGTAGCGTCTGATGAGTATGTTACCGGCGTCATCCATTTTGATTTTCACGCCCTGTGCAAAAAAATCATTAAAGCGATATACGTATATAAATCAGGACTAATACACGCTACAGATAAGTATGCAATAATTGATTCTACTAAATATTGTTTGGGCAATAAGTATACGTTTGTTGGGGAAAAGTCACAGGTCACAGGAGTAAATCGATTGGCTACCGATATGTTTTTTTTTGTTATCTGACTAATTAAGATTTCTTGATCGAATGGGTTCCGTTGTGATGTCATGCCTAGGGGAAAATAATAACTTTTCGTTGTAAAATTACCGACGTCATTGTTAGGTTTTTGTCATTAAGCGAAGCGATCAATGGTGTTTTGTGCCATTGTATAACCTATTGTCCATTGACCAGACATTAACCTCTTCGGTTGATTACTAACTTTTTCTTTCTTCAAACTATTTTCATTACCACCTGCTCTCTCTTTAAAGAACTAAATATAAGAAAGTAAGATTTTCCTTACATTAATAACTAAACATCAATACTAAAGTATTCAATAAAAATGCTATTAAAATGTAAATCTATCTCCTATCCGGAACTAATTCAAATGTTGTCTAAAACGTCATCAAATTTAACAGTAAATATTATAATTATTCATCAACTTGCTGATGTTATTTTAACTTCCTTACAAGTCGGTTACTTTATGTCCGTGTATTAATTCAAATGGATTTTTTGTCCGTCTAAGTTATGATAGTTTCACACGTAGGTAGAACAGTGAACTAATGTAATAGGACAGTACATTATTGCAATTGAACGTATATTTTTAAAACAATACTGTGGTCTGTTTCGTTAACATTCTACTGATGTTACGCTAGTATTGACAAGTGTTATTATTTCTTTTTTTCAAAAGAACGAGATGGATTACATTATGACTTTTTAAAGTTTTTCAACAGTCAAAACCTAAAGTAGATAGGTGAATTAAAAACAATATCAGTATACTGTCCTACTATATATACGCTATACTCTGCCCTCGTGTGAAATTACCGTTGTAGGGGCGTAGTAGCCGGTAGCGGGAAGTTTAGCAACATTTATGAAACAGTTAATTGTCGCGGCTTCGAATGCCGCTCACCCACCGGTCCGTGGATAATGAATTCGTGCAGAAACGAGCGCTTTAGGCACAGATATTTTAATATTACAAGATCTGATTTACAATAAAGGTTTTACAACACAAGAAAAGTGATATTTTATGAATGAAAAGTGTATAAATACATCACTTGTACATCCAAGTCAAGATTTTTTTAGGGAAAGAGAAGTGAATACCTAAACATCTGCTAATAAGGACTTGTAAAAGTCAAGTATTATCCGATTTTAAAAATCGATTGCAAATTTTGCCTCGGTTTATTGCCACAGGAAATACCGAGCTAAAATGTCATTCGTAATAACTTTAAAGAATATGCTAATAATTTTTTTGTAGATACGCTATTTAACAAGTAATATATTGTAAATAAAAAATGCTTATGGCAAAGCTCATATCATTGACCTTTACTGGCGCTCGTTACTGAATTTAATTTGAATAATAAAAAACATTCAGACATAATAGACAAAAACAAAGAAGCTCGATTACCTTTGTCAATTTTTAATCGAATCTTTGATTTAGAGTGTAATGATTATCAAAAGTCAAACTAGTTGTATAACAAGAAGGAGGATAACAAGAAGGACGTTAGTTATGAATGTGGAGGGGTACACCGATAGAGGTAAACTTAGAAAGAGATGGATTGCGTGAAAGATGACATGATCAAAAAGGTAGTGACTGAGATGACAGATGATAGAGTTATTTGGAGGACGAAAATCCGGATCGAAACAATCACGAACAATCGACCGAAAAAATATCGCAGTAAAGTATAAAAGATCGATGGGGACTTCTCATGTTCCTTTTAACTTTCAGCTCTAAAAATTTGTAGTTCATGATAGTTATTATTTATTTATATGCTCTTTAAAAGTTTTTGGTAAATTTGACGAAACAACCTTAAATGGTTTATAACATTTACGAAATCTTATAGGTTTAGGTAAAACTTAAAAGGTTTTTAATATATTCTTAGTACTTAGTTTTGCATTGGCGACATCAAATTACGAGTTACGTCGCCGTGAGACCCGCTAAAGCCTTCATTAGGGATAATAACAATTGTTAATACCTATTTATGTGTCTTCAAACGTGCATTTATTGCTTATATCGTTAAGAATAATTGCTGAATGTCTTGCGTTTGAATATCATTGTAACTTAAAAATGATGATGGTATTTCTAAGGATTTTAACTAAAAGACACAATAAAATCGACAGTCTAATCGCTATCTTACTAACATTAAAAATAAGAAAGTTTAGATGGATGGATTTATGGATGTTTATTAGAAGGTATCTCCAGAAATATTCAATGAAACCACATGAACTTTGACACAGAGTCTACATTCATCATCTTTATAGTCTAGAAGAACACGTAGGCTGCATTTGTTTTTCTTTTAATTTTGCGCGGACACAGTCACCAGCAAGAGCTAGTATTTTAATAAAATTCTAATATTCTGACAATTATATACTGTATGTAGCAACATACATTATTAAAAGTACCTCTTTAAATGTAGGCAGACTGCCGAACCTTTTGACAACTGTTAAGGGTTCCTAGAGTCTAATATTTAGGGGCTGCCCCACCAAATTATAAATTATCTGGTAACAATCCAACTTGTAAAATATGTGCTGGAAATATAGGATTTTGTTATCTTATCTGACAGGGATGTCAATTTAAGCTATCTGAGCCTCTATCAGCTAGTGGTGGGACAGTCCCTTAGTCTTATAATTACGCATAGTACCTGTCCAACGTGTTTCTTAACTTCTTCTGTCTTCGGATCTCTGAGTGGGTTGTCAAATCCGCATAGGCCGATTCTGCAAAGATAGAGAAAAATTGTTAGCAAATAACAAAGGGTTGCATTCAAATCACGTAAATCGTATATTTTTATGTGATTTCTGCATCGCTTGGAACTTCGCCAAACGAATTTAGAATAATATTAAGATAGGAAAATCCTCTTTTATAAAAATAAAATACCATTTGTTGTAAAGTGACTAACAAATGAAATATGAATCTATCAACAATAATAAAATAAAAGTACCATTAAAAAGAACTCGATTTTTTGGAATGCTGCGACAATACTGTAATTAACAGCAGTTAATTATTATTTAGGTCTTAGTATATATAGCTCTGTCTATTTAACATAGATATAAAAAGCCTTTAAATGTATACAGCCAAATCTGGATAAGTAGAGTACGAGGAAGTTTCTGTCTAATCCAAGTTTCTCGCTTATGGACGTCGTCAGTCGAGTCTGGGCAATACCTCTCGCTTATGAAGGTTTTTCACTAATCCGGTACTCCCTTGTCTAAGTCCGATAGTACACAATTAAATAAGTAATTATATTTGAGTACAATAGAATCGGTTTAAAAATTCAATTCTCATGTTACAAATTAAAGAATGACGTTTGAGGAATTCGTCTTCGTTTACAATTACATCCACGTGCGGTATCGGAATATTGTTTTCTCAAAACCGTTGTTCGTTATGCGTCGCCCTGAGAACTACGTACGATTCATTTACATTCAAGCACTGCGGTCGGCTCCCGGCGGCGGTTACTGATTGGAAATTTCTATTCAATTGTTAAACCTTGTAATACCTTGTTTTCTAATCACTTGGACGCGTTAACTATGGTTTTGTAAGCTGTTACCGTACAATCGAAAGTTGATCCATGGATTTTCTTTTCGCATCAAGAATTTCAATCTTAACTATTATTATTAGTTGTATTTGATATGTCAGTATTTAATTTATCGTTACTACTTTGAAGATGTTCGTGGATTTCATCTTTTACACTAAAATATCTTCCGCAAATCGATCCTTTATCTTCATATCTTTAAAAGATAATCTGAAATTAATATTCACTCTTGTAAAATATGAATCTCTTTATATTCAAAAATTTATTGAACCATAAATTCAGGAATGAGGAAATAAGGACTTCATTCTCAGACGAAGAACAAGAATAAAATAGGATAATACGAGAACAAATTAATTTGTACGTATCAATGGGTCGTCGAACCAGTGGAAGCGAAGTGAGTGGAGGCCTTGACGAGACGCGTGACGCGCGCTCCCGATCGCTACTGTGTCACGTCGCGCGTGGCGGTGGCGCCCTCTGCCACAAACTTGATTATACGATAATTTTTTGCACAAACGTATTTGTTTAAAAACTTATTGCCTAACCGAAAGGGTTATGCGGGTATTTTTATTGCGACGTTATTGAGGCTAAATGGCAAAACGAATTTTCAAATGTGACTGTTGAATTTTCTTTAGAATCTTATCGCATTAAGTCAGTCTTACCAAATTCTAGTAAATTGTCTGATGACAATCCAATGAATAAAATATGTGATGGAAATATCGGATTTTGTTACTAAATCTGACAGTGATGACATTTTTAATCTATCTGAGCCTCTATCAGCCAGTGTTAGGACAGACCCTTAGTGTTTTTTATTAATAATTAAATTATCGTACGTATTTGTAAAAGTATAATTTGGTGACCTTTAACAAACAGTTATATTTAAACTTTATTAACCAATCTTGTATTTGATTGTGTAGATTTGACAGTAAAGTGAATCGAAACGAAGGTTTCAACAATTACTATGATTGATCATGGATAGGTTGTAATGAGTTTTTAGATTTACGATCTAATTTAGATCAATAACGCATGATTTGGGTAAGAACATTAATCTTCATTAATAAATATTAATCAATTGAGAAATTTAAGTAGTGCTTGGATCGTGTTTAAAACCTTGATGGAATCTAGAACTTATTTATTTTTAAATTAGGATAACGCAATTGCTATTCGAAATACAATACAAGAATATATCTAAAGCAAATAAAAGAGTGGGGATAGTAGTTATTATCCATATCAAAGAAGTTATAAGCGTGTTATTGCTTATGATAAACTAGCTGTTCCCGTGCGGCTTCATCCGCATGAAATTATAAAAACTTTATTTTATCGTTTACATTTGTCTGTCAAATTCTCAATCGCAAATGTCAAAATTACCATTACCATAATAACCTTGCTTCCTTAATGTTGGCAGCTTGTAATTTATGGTCCCTTTCCCACATGAAGGTTTTCTTTCAATTTATTTAACCCCAAAGTTAAATAATGTGAAAATATATAGCCTGAAGCGTACCGTTAGTGCAGGTCTTTTAATTAAAGAGAGGTTTATTCAAAAATGTTTTGTGATTGCTGACATCCTATGCCACAAAGTGTGTGTTTACACTTTATTACATTAGTATAGAAGTATAGATAGACGATAAGAAACCGTGTAATATTTTCGTAAAAGAGACAAATGCTCGATACAAAATATCCTTTTAATTAAGTATTGAGCTAGTATTTGTATCAACTTTGTAAAAGACATGGTCAATAAATCCAGGGTCAAGCGTGACTAGTCAAGGTACTGTCGCGTAATGAAATGCTTTGGAACAGTGGACTCGTTAATTTGATATTGTTCCGTTATCTATTACAATTATGTTATTTAATGATTAGCGGTTGCAGTCACGAACGGACTAATGAAATTGGTACTGGCAAGTAATTGTAGACAATTTTGTTTATTAATGTACAAGGCACGAGCGATAGTTGACAGAGATTAGTATGTAGACGGAGCTTTAGGTAACAAACAGTGGCATTCCAAACAAATTATCTTGAATTTTTATTTTACTTGTAAGTAAGTAAGTAAGTGTAAGTATGCTACAAAATAAGAAACTACAAAAACTGTATTTTAAATTGATTAATGATAGTTGCAGACAAAGTTATCAATCAAATAAATTTCGTAAATGAAAATAATGTTGTCAACGAAAGTACTTTCGATTGCGGAAGTCGCCGCGAGCACAACGAAAGTAAAAGCTGATCGGAAGGTACTGACAGCTTGCACGGATTATAATATCAGGTACTATTACGGTAAATGTACAACTATATAAAAAAATAATAATTATTATTAAGAGTAACATAGCAATCGAATTAAATAAAAAAAACATAAGTACAGACGAATGACAATATTTCAAATTAATTAAGAAATGAATTCTTCCAAAAGTTTTTTTTTAATGTAAAAGAGGAAATTTCAAGAATAGTCTGAAGGAAAGCTGTTTCGTAATTTATTATTTCATAATTCATGTATTACGGATTACTGTGTATTTTAATAAGGAATTGCTGAAAGTGATTTGAGTTTTAAAGGGCATCATTTGTACCAAATTAAAGTTCAGGTTAGGTCACACTGCGTGTCTAAACTATCAAGTTTGAATTTCTAAAAAAATGAATTCTGTCCATTTTAGAAATAAAAACAGCAATCTTACTAATCTTACTTCTTACTAACATTATAAATGCGAAAGTTTAGATGGATGGATGGATGTTTGTTAGAGTCTGTAACCTAAACTGCTGAACGGATTTCGATTAAATTTGGCATCGACTCAAAGAATAGTCTGGAAGAACATAGGCTAATCACTTTTGTTTTTTTAAGGCCACGCGGACGGAGTCGCAGGCGAAATCTAGTATGTGTATAAATAACATAGAAAGAGGAATTTCATAGTAATGTCTTTAAAGAAGAGACAAAACATGTTAAACATAAATGAAAAGATAACAGTAACTTCAACAAATGTAACTAAGATAATTTTAGTTAAGAGTGAAAGTTTAAAAGCAATCAGTGTCATACTTCAATTGGTTCAACGATGGTATTATGAGTAGTGGCAGACATGCTGATAGAAAGTGATACCACTTACAGTCAATAAATAAGAGAAAATACTTTTGAGTAATGTAACCTAATTAGATTTACACAGTACTAGCTGAACCCAACACATTTATAAAATATGCAAAAACATCCTCTAGAATCCTAAGAACGTTTTACTAAAATTTAAACAAAATCTGTTTAGTGGTTTAGGAACGCAAAGGGAACAAACGAGCATTGATTTTTACTTGTGTTTAGCCAAAGATAACAGTTATACAATATAGTTTTAAGAACGTTAATTTTTAATGTCAATTCTTCACGTTTCTTTCGTCTTGAATCAATCTATTCGCTGTAGGTCAAACATGTTCTTCACAAACAATAGCTTGAGTTATATGATCCATGAAACTGAGCCGATACATGCCAAGGACCGCGATTGCCCGCGGATGTGCCCCGCTTTTGTCACCTTGATTTTACAATGAGGGCAACAATAGAAGGGTCAAAAACATATGCTGACCAAAAAGTACTAATGATATACTGGTATGTACTTAATAATTGTATGTTTATGTAAAGAATACATAATAAGATACAGTAACATTTAAATAAGTCTTATAGTTTAGGCTACGTAAGCAAATAAAGCAAAAAAGACCCCAAATTTCGTCGCGCGGTTTTAAACTAAACTATTTAACTACGTTGTAGTCTTTGACTCCAAAAATCAAACAAAAAAATGGGACCCACCTGCAAGCACTACCTTTTGGATAAAAAAAGAATTATCAAAATCGGTCTACTAGCGGCGGAGTTATGCCGTAATACACTTAAAAAGAAACATAGACAAATTGAGTACCTCCTTCTTTTGGGAAGTCGGTCAAAAATGGAATCAACTCTATGATTTACGACCTTCGATAGAAGAAGAATTTAAATAGCAAATCAGAATAAAGAATAAAAAGAAGAATTCTATTTCTGAACAAACAGTTGTTCTGAATGATGAAATATCGATTTTATGTCATTGTTGTTAAAGTATTAATTCAAATAACAGAAGGTAGTCAGTAAACACACATCGGTTCAAAATAGTCGTTAAACAATCATTTCCGTTTGCTTTTCATTGTTGCTGAGAATCGATTTTCCCGAGCATGAAATCGATTGATCCAACCGTTACTTTCTTTTTA